TATATCTGTAATATATCTATAATATATCTGTAATATACCCGTAACATATCTGTTATATATCTGTAATATATCTGTAATATATCTGTAATATATCTGTATAATATATTTGTATAATATATCTGTATAATATATCTGTATAATATATCTGTAATATATCTGTATAATATATCTGTAATATATATGTAATATATCAATGCCGATTATGTTTTTATGTTCTCCTACTGAGATACTGTTTAGAATCCTACCAAGAAGAATTTGACGTGCGTTTCTTTAGCTTTTTAATTCCTCCAAAATTTACATGCAAAAAAAACTTAATGACGACATTTAGTTGATAAATCTTGCCTCACTTAAAGGAATTGGAAACATAATTTCAAGTAACCCGGCACTGATAGGTTGCCATATCCGATTCACAACGAAGTTCTTAAAACCTTTTTCTAGTCATGTATGAAATAGATAATAGAAAAGAACGAGCTATGACCTAATCACCTTTAATTATTGGAATAATAGGATTTGTCAAAAAACATCTCGGATCAGTCCGAAAAATGCGTTTTTAAGAAAACAATGGTCGGGCACGAAGTGTTCTGAATGTCCGGCCAATAAAAACTTGAATCTGCAGTAAACAGAACTTTTGTAAAGTTTTAACATTTTGCTTATAAATAGTTGTTTAGTAAACATAAAGTATACAATTCTTATATCCCCCTCTCTTTCCTCTCACCACCCGTCCCCCCACCTCCCTTTTCTTTCCCCCTCTCTCTTCAATAAGTTCCAGTACTAGCTATTAGAATTGAGTATGTAAATTGTAAATTATAAATTGTAAAAATGTGTAGAAAAGTCTAGGAGTATTTAAATATTTAAAAAGAAAATTTAAAGTTAGGAAAATATACTTTTAGACAAATTTGAGAATCTGACATTGGTAAAGCATGGGCTTTCTGAACTTGAAACACACAGGGTGTCCGATGTTAATAACTATTAGAAAATCCACTTTGATTTTCATGTTTAGTGGGTCGCCCTGCACAAAAAGATTATCCAGCTATTGATAAGGGAAAAAACTTTAAATATCCCAGAAATTGTTTGGAAAATGTATTATTTTCCCAGGTTTATAATATACTCCTAGGTTTATAATATACTCCTAGGTTTCAGAAAACCTTTATTGAATTCTTTTACACAAATAAACTTCTAACTTCATTTATCTTAGAGTTCAATTCGAATCCAACTATCTATCTATCCATCTATCTATCTTTCTATCTATCTATCTATCTATCTATCTATCTATCTATCTATCTATCTATCTATCTATCTATCTATCTATCTATATATCTATCTTTCTATCTATCTAACTATCTATCTATCTAAATATATATCTTTCTGTCTATCTATATATCTGTATATCAATATATCACTCTATCAATATATCACTCTATCTATTTTTCTATCTATCTATCTAATTATCTATTAGTCGGTCTGTCTGTCTGTCTATCTGTTTTTTTGTTGAAATACCACTCACTTGAGGTCCACTGCCTCATTTTTGTTTTATTTTACCTAACCAACTTACAAAACTTTTGCAGTCGTGTGATGCATGGATGTTTTAGATTTAGCGGGCTTGTTACAGTTGTCAAGGAGTAATTGGGAAATCCTGATAAAGTTTAGTGCTAGAGCATCAGAATTTTGCTTCACTGTGACTTTCATTTTTCCCCCGTACCAAAAGTCAAATGCCTTGTAAGTATTCCTAATTTAAAAAATACAGCTTAGCTGACTCGTTTAATGATATTTCAGTTCTGGCGCATGTACACTGCTTTAAAACATTTATAATTCCTATATAAGGAAAGAAAAGTGCGTTCATTATTAGTTACCCGAATCAGAAATACAGTGCTATACACTTCAGTGCTAGTAGGTATAATGTCTAAAGGTTTAGATGTAACCCCCCCCCNAGATCTTAGGCTCGACTTAAGGAGTTAAGCCCAATGAAAATAAAACCGACCTTGGTTGGTTTTAGTGAAGAATAAGGCTCAATGTTGGGTCTTATTCTCATCAAAACCTGGAATGCGCCAATTCCAACTATGAAAATCCGCCAACTACAACATTAAACCGGTTTAATGAACTAAACTCTGTTAAAAATTAGATGCAACTTAAATCCGAAAGCCCGAGCCGTAAATAAGGCTCAACGACAGCTTAGACCCGAGTCGTATTTTATTGAATTTTTTAAATCGCCGGCTCAGTTTAGGTTTCCAGTTTAGGTTTCCAGTTTTGGTTTCCAGTTTTGGTTTCAAGTTTAAGTTTCCAGTTTCGGTGTCCAGTTCAGGTTTCCAGTCTAGGTTTCCAGTTTAGGTTTCCAGTTCAGTAATGTAATAAGTCGTAATTCGGTGGTAACTCTTTCTGAGATGAACTTTTCACCAAAGCAAATTGACCAAATCAATTATGTAATTAGGGATGTTATAGTTTTTAAAACCTTTTTAAGCTAACGAACCTTCGTCTGAGGAAAACGTTTTTCGTTTTTTTCCCTAGGGAAAACGTTTTCTTCTATGTCGTTTACGAAACGGTCCGTTCACTTTTCAGAAAATCATTGACCATATAAAAGACCAACATAAATATGTCATCTTAAAGCAAAGATGGACAAAAACAAAACAGTTGTGTAAAAAGTGTGCAGCAGAAAAGAAAGGTTAAAAACAATATATTTATTGAGATCTGGAAGATGATATCGAAGGTAGAAATAAATAAAGAAAAATGATTCAATCTCATGATTTATGGAGCAAGTAATAGAAATATGAAGATAGATATACAGATATCAGATATACAGAAATAGATATTCAGATAGATGGATAGACAGACATACAGATATCAGATATATATATATATATATTTAGATAGATAGATATACAGAAAAATAGATAGATATATATACAGATATCAGATATATAGAATTTTAGATAGATAAATATACAGATATCAGATATTTATAGATGTTTAGATAGATAGATATACAGATATCAGATATTTATAGACATTTAGATATACAGGTATCAATGTAATGCAATGCAATGCAATGGATATCAATGCAATGTAATGCAATGGATATCAATGCAATGCAATGCAATGGATATAAATGCAATGCAATGCAATGCAACGGATATCAATTCAATGAAATAGATATAAATGCAATGCAATGCAATTGATATCAATGCAATGTAATGCAATGGATATTAATGAAATGCAATGCAATGGATATCAAAGAAATGCAATGCAATGGATATCAATGCAATGCAATGCAATGCAATGTAATTTAATGGATATCAATACAATGCAATGCAATGTAATGTAATGAAATGCAATCGTGATGGTTAAATCAAAAAGGTTTCCAATATCTCTCGAGTTTTAACTAAATATATTTCTCCACCCACACTGTTAGTTTTCCCTTGCTAAAGCTTCAGGTGTAAATACTGATTTGTACACTCCCAAGGGAGTAACTGGTCATCGTTTCCATTCCCCNTAGATAGATAGATAGATAGATAGATAGATAGATAGATAGATAGATAGATAGATAGATAGATAGATAGATAGATAGATAGATAGATAGATAGATAGATAGATAGATAGATAGATAGATAGATAGATAGATAGATAGATAGATAGATAGATAGATAGATAGATAGATAGATAGATAGATAGATAGATAGATAGATAGATAGATAGATAGATAGATAGATAGATAGATAGATAGATAGATAGATAGATAGATAGATAGATAGATAGATAGATAGATAGATAGATAGATAGATAGATAGATAGATAGATAGATAGATAGATAGATAGATAGATATAGATAGGTAGATAGATAGATAGATAGATATTATGTATTAGCATATATTATATGAATATAAACATTCCATATTTTCTTGACAGAGTACCTTCAAGATGAATTCTTATTAGTTTTATGTAATCCTAGATAAACAGATGTTTATCCTTTCATGGATTAGATTACTAGAAATCAATTTCTTATGATAAATATGATAACATATTGCATTGTTCTTTTGATTTGTTTTTTTGTCAACATATTGTAACATTTTATCAAAGTAATGCTTTTGCAGTAAATTATCTTTTTGAAAAAAAAATTATTCTGAAAACTGAAAATTTTTCTGTTTTAGGAGACATTTTAAAGAGTTACATGTGACCGATTCACAATGGTTCCTTCAAATTTGTTTTCTGCAATGTTTGATCTTATTTTTGTTTTAAAATTGGATATATTTAACTTTCTGTAAAAGGGTGTATCCAAAAATTAATTTTATATTCAGATTAAAAACGATTCTGAGAGACAAGGGTTTAGAATTTAATTCCTTGTCTCAGCCAAGGTTATAATGCAAGGAAAGTTATTTCACTGGTGTAAGCATCTTTTGTACTGCAGTGAACTGTCTACTGGCGGTAATATGTATACACAAGATGGATGTCGAAGCCTGACATGGAATCCATCTTTCTAAAAAATTAATGAAATATTCTGGTCATAGGAAACTATTATGTGAATTATCAAAATTATCAAAATTTAATGCTTTTTACCTCCTCGGATACTAAACGAACACTGATGCATACTTGTTTACAAATTACAAAATACAACTAGTTTCAATATGCACGCAGAGTATACGCAACCGCAATTAACTTTCCTTGCATTATAACCTTGGTCCCAGAAAGCTGTGACTTAGATGACAAAAAACATGTTTTTTTTCATTTTTGTCGGCGAATGAGCCCGTGATAAATGAAAAAGAAAACTCCGTAATTTAAAGATATGATGGTCCAATTAACGCAAATGGTTGGATCAGGGTAAATGATGATTACTTGAAATTATGTTGATAGTCCCTTTAAGGTTTAAATTTACAGAAATTGAAAAATTTAAATCTAGTACATTCCCTTTAAGATGTTAATTCCGGAAAACTTAAAGATAAAAGTATAAAACGGGAGTTTTCTTATTAAACCACAAAGTGAATACTTTTGAATGAATTTGTCCAGTTTTGAATATCTGGGACACAAGTGAAACAATTTTATTCTTATCTTCCAGCATTCTTGGAAATGTTTCTAATGTAAAAAATGTATATATGGAAAAAATAAAAATGAAATTAGAAATAATTTAAAATGAAAATATCCGAAAAGATTTTAGCCGCCTATCCTGTGGTCACTTTGTATTTGTTTTTGAACCTAGGTATGTATTCACTTAGAACTAAACAAATTTAATTTGGCGCAAAAATCTATTGCTGTTTTTTCCCAAATACAGCCAATCACTGCTTACTATCCTTTTTTAAAACCAAGTGCTCTAATATAGGTCTAGGCAAGGAGTATGAAATAGAAGGGAAATACATCTGACGCGGACCGCCCTACCATATGAATATGCATGCTTTGCAGACGGGTACTCCATTTGTATAAGAAATATTTGTCTGATGTACAATTACTGAGTATACAATAACCTATTCTGAATATTTCATATACAAGTGTAGTACCGTCTGCAAAGCGTGTATAATCATATGGTAGGGCTAACCGCATCAGGTATATCTCCCTTCTATTTCCTACTCCTTGGATCTAGGGCATACAGGAAGAAAAAGTGCATGAGTTAGCGTAAAATAAAAGGTCATGGACCCAGTTTTGCGACGTTTCTTGGATAAAAAGGAACAAACAAACAGACAAGAAAAGTTTATATATAGAAGCTACAAAAAAACAATTTGTAGGTACATTGTTAAGTTAAACCCGAGGGAATATGCCTAGCGATCGTTCAAATTTCGCTTGGTCTAAAGGATAATTCATAATTTACATAACTGTTAAAAATTGCTTTAAATTTGCTCTTTGATATTTCTGAAGAAACACACATCGCTTTAAAGGGAGTGACCGGCTATGTAAGATAATTGAACTGAGGATGCAGTGTTGTGGAAAACTTCTTTAGGATTCATTTGAGACATATTTTACTTTTTAAAGATCTGTAATTTCTGAGTTTGAGTGCAAATTCGACGTTCAAAACTCCTGATTTGGGGGTGGATACGCTTTCAGAATTAGTTTTTTTTTAAATTATTAAATAACGACAACGAAAAATAAAGTAAAAATTATACAGTAATCTAATTAGATAGCTAGGAACTTATTTCACAAAAGATATTTGTCAATAAATCAATGCTAAAATCGATTATTTCGTTTTCATTATTATATTGAATTTCTAATTTTCTTTGAATTTATTCGCGCAGATTTCTTCAAATTCTTTAAATGTCGTCTTTTCAAAAATAGTTATAGAAAATCTGCGAACATCTTTGTGAATAACGAGAAACTAGAGCAATGAGATAAAAAAAGCTAATAATTGAACATGATTACTTATTTTCGATGATAAGATTAATTTTTATTTTCTCAAAATGTTCCTAAACATGACGTCTGTAGTTTATTGTAGAATATTTTTACATTTTATGTCGTCGTTAATTAATAAAAAAATTAATTCTGAAAGCGTATCCACCCCAAAATCAGGAGTTTTGAACATTGAATTTGCGCTCAAACTCAGGATTTACAGACTTTTAAAAAGTTTAATATGTCTCAAATGAATCCTAAAGAAGTTTTCCACAATACTGCATACTCAGTTCAACTACCTTACATAGCCAGTCACTCCCTTTAAATTGAAGAAGTTCTAATTTGTTTAGGAAGTAATTTTGTCTGGCCTTATGTAGTCCTACAAGGATTAAGCTTGGGTTTAAATATATCAGAGATCATGATTATAACAGGGATCATTCCCTTACTTAGCTTCCCAGCAAACCCTCTTATAGGTAACAATATATATACTGGGGTATACATATAATTGTGGAATTAGAAGACGACATTTAAGCTATCCCTTGTATATTTGATGTTGGGTTAAAATAAAACGTTAATTCAGTAGCATGAAAATTTATTTATTACGGAGTGAAATAGATTATGCTTTTATTGCAGATAGCGCAATTGCTGTGTTTAATGTTTATTTCAATTTGCTTAAAATCAAAACTTTAGTCTTACAGTCGTCTTCCTATTCTATTCTTATGGGTCCAACTGTAGTACACAGAAATAGTTTTTAGATTTAATGATTTAATTTAGACTTAATGTTCCAAATTTCCAAAAAAAAAGTTTGATAATACGATCAACATGATGGGATTTCTCGAGTTTTAAAAACAATTTTTTTGGGGGCCTTCGCAATAGTCCATAAATATGTGAAATTGGAAGACAACAACTGAGCAATCTTGTGTGTATTTGATATTGTTATAAAGAAAATTTTACCAGCAGCTTGAAAATCAACTTTCTTTGATTCATGTTCATTCGGGTAGAACAACAGACGTACATCTTCCTATTCCACAGTTTTATGGTTCTCACCTTATATATTTGTGTTGCTATAGGGTATCTAGGGGATAAGGTTGGTTACAAGCTGGTGTTTAAGGTTCTCACCTTATATATTTGTGTTGTTATAGGGTATCTAGGGGATAAGGTTGGTTACAAGCTGGTGTTTATGGTTCTCACCTTATATATTTGTGTTGTTATAGGGTATCTAGGGGATAAGGATGGTTACAAGCTGGTGTTTAAGGTTCTCACCTTATATATTTGTGTTGTTATAGGGTATCTAGGGGATAAGGTTGGTTACAAGCTGGTGTTTAAGGTTCTCACCTTATATATTTGTTTTGTTATAGGGTATCTAGGGGATAAGGTTGGTTACAAGCTGGTGTTTAAGGTTCTCACCTTATATATTTGTGTTGTTATAGGGTATCTAGGGGATAAGGTTGGTTACAAGCTGGTGTTTATGGTGCTACTAGCTGCTTGTGCTGGAGTAGGAGTCTCAACTGTATATATTCCTAAATATCATGAAACAGCAAGATTTAAGGTATAACTATTTAGAAGCCTGTGTATTCGAACCTACACATTGCAAGCAGCACTAAATTGTAGTGAACTAGATACAGTCTGCTTAGTGCTTGTATTGGGCCAGATCAAGCTAAAGAAGATTTACTAGATACAGTCTGCTTAGTGCTTGTATTGGGCCAGATCAAGCTAAAGAAGATTTACTAGATACAGTCTGCTTAGTGCTTGTATTGGGCCAGATCAAGCTAAAGAAGATTTACTAGATACAGTCTGCTTAGTGCTTGTATTGGGCCAGATCAAGCTAAAGAAGATTTACTAGATCCAAATAAAAAAATTACATTAGACCAATCGGAACCGGTAAATGCATAAGTCAGTACTGGTGAATGCTTGTACTGATGTTGATCCTGCACAATTTGGTACACAGGTCCAAATGCACCAGCCCATTACTAATGTTGGGATTCTTATTTAAATTGCTCAGGTTACTCATAGTTACTTCTGCTGTTTACCTACACTTGGTGGATTTTACTGGGAAGCAAAATTTTTGCTAATAAAGTCAATCCAAATAATTTAGACTCTTAAAACCAGGCCAAGAATATTTCCAGGGTTCTTCCGAGTTTCCCAATCATAATTTGAGGCAAATCGGTCCAGGGCTTCCTGAGTTACAACTTGATATATATATAGATGCAAAATGTTGGCTCTGGCTAATGAATAATTTGAAAAATAATTCAGGCCTTAATGTATATCTTCTGTCATAGTCAAAACTTTGCAGTGTGTAATCAAAGTAATGTTTTACCCCCTACATTTTCAAAATAGTTGGTGCTTCTCTAATTTTAATGGAGCTTTTTTAAGCCAAAAGCCAATATTTAAAAAAACAGATCAAACTTATGCTTAACTCTAGCTGTCACACTGGTGTCATGATGGGTATTTTCATTTAATGCATTGTAAAATCTTAGCAATATTCTGTTTATTATTTTTTAAGCTGAACTGTGACCATTTGTTTTCATGAAATTGATTTAAATATGGTTATGAATATATCTGTTGTTCATGGTCACATCTTCTGACGGATTTGATAGCTGATTTTTTGTTAAAATTGATTTACTTTATAGATTGGTATTTCCAGCCCTACTCCAACCCCTGATACACTGATTGTGTTTTCAGAGTATTTATCTGAATCTGAACCCTGCAGATCCTACCTTAACTTTACAGTAGAACAGATCCAGGGAGGTCCAAGATTTGGAAATTAAATTACCAGGGACCAGATTTTTTAAAGCCAAAAGTACTTAAACAACAAAGAATAATTTCAACTACTTGTCTTGTACGTCAGGTTAAGCGGAACAGAAGTGGCAAAATAAAACTAAGTAGTTTAACTTCTTAGGGGTTTCAGTAATCTGGTCCCAAAAGTCAATGACCAGCTGGAAAATAATGATAATTTAGTTAAAACAATTGTATTTTAAATCCCATAATATGCTCAGTTGTTTTCCATGAGAAATTCAAGTTGAGTCAAATGTGGCGCTATACCAACCATAATTATTAGCTTCAGGAGTTATTTGCTCAAAACTACCATAACTTTAATCATTTACTGGATTAGGTCAACCTAGGTTTATTCTTTAAATGAGGTTCTTTCAACATAAAAATAAATTGATAATTAATTAATAAAATAAATTTTCTTGATGACTATGTTTATTGGAACTTCTTGCACAGTGTGAAAACAGAACATTTGAGACAAACTTTGATATTACTATTGATACATTTGAAAATGTTACAAGAGAGTCCTGCGATGTTGTTGATGATGACTTGTGTGTTTATCAAGTGAATTCTCAAGATGATCTGATCTATTGTGATGTTTTTATAAAAGATGAGACAAACATTCACAAATCTGGAAATAAATCAGTGACATGGATTTTGTATATCCTGCTAAGGATACTATTATCCTACTCCCTCAGCCCAGCCTGGAATTTTGTAGATGTTATTGCGGCTGGGGTAGCGTCTGAAATTCATGTAGATTGGGCAGTTATCAGTTTCTTTGGTAGTATCTCAGCAGCATTATCTCCACTTGTCGTTGGTAAGCAATTTTGAAAAGCATTTAAGCAAATAAAAAGATTGGTAGATTCTAAATGTTCATACAGTCACAGAATTCAGTCACAAATCGCCATCATTGAGGTAAAAAAATGCCCAATATGACAATTATATAATATACATATTTGCAAAAAAGTATAGTTGCAATTTATATAACAGTAATAGTGTACAAAGTCTGGCAGGTGGGGTAAGAGAACTTTTGATCCAGGCCCTTTACCAGGCCTGTACAGTTAAAGACTAAAGAGTCAATTACTATGGCCTTGCAGCCATAAGTTCTCAAATTTTGTAGCTTAGGTGTTCTTTAACTTCAAGGATTTGTAGCTTAGGGCGAATATGCCTGAAGGCCAATGTTCACCTTTAATAAAATGTACTTCTGAGGATAAAGGATATAAAATGTTGAGAAAATGCTTTTTCGAGTAAATGAATCATTGAAAAAGTGTATTTTTTTCGCAAGTATAGTATCAGGCAAAGACAGTTAAATTGGGCAAAGATACCTTAGGGTATATGTAGCTTCCAAGAAATCTACCTTCAGGAAAATGTACATTTTGGCAAATGACCTTTGCAGAATTGTGCCTTTCTGTGAATGTGATTTACTCTTTATATTACAGGGTTTTTGATGGACACTGTTGAAATTGGTGAACCCATGTTTGATTGTGTCAGAAAAATTGAACTAGATATAACGGATTACAAGTTTCCATATTTGTGTTTTTCTGGAATCATGGTAGCCACCATAATAGTCAGTGCATTCCTGCTAACTGGAGACCATAGAAGGAAGGAGAAGAGGACTCAAGGAAAGAAAGGGAAGGAAGAGAATGAGAAGGAGGGGAAGAGACCCGAAGAAACAATGGTGGAGGAAATGGAAAAGAATGAGATGAAGAACAAGAAAGGAACTTGGAAGGAAGACATCACATGGTAAAATTTTAAAGTAATAAAAATAATCAATCTATTTAAAACGAAACTCTAAGATTTCAGCTAATTGTAGCAAAGCAAAACAAAAAAAATGAAGGAGGGATTAGTATTACCTCAATGATGAATTGATCAAAATTATACATATTTCCAGTAGATTCAGTGGGGTTTCACTTTAGGATAAAACATTGTGTCATTGCTGATTTGAAATAGGACCAACCTATCTAAAAATAAACTATGATTTATCTTACATGCCCTGTGTTTTTGGAAAAGATCAATCCCTGTAAATTATTAACTGAACTTTTAGGTTACTCACTCCTGGAGCTGTAGGACTTTACTCTTTAATAATCATGATTGGAATAATTCATGGAGCTTTGGGAGGATTTTTTTCTGTATATGTTGTTCAGGATCTCAATGTGTCAGATGCTTGGTTTGGTAAGAAGAATTTTATTATAATTATTCTCAATGACTAAGAACTCGAGGACATTTGAAGTAAAATTTCAGGCCAAGTTTTAGTTAGAGCAAGTTATACAGAAATTGGAACTTTAGTGGGGAGTTTTTTAATTTTGAACACTTGATCTTGATATCCAGTCTCAGCATACTTCAGAGATTTTGAGCACGTCTAACAAATTCTTAGAGGTTAAAACTTCAAAATTATTTTTCTAACCATTTGCTTTTTTTTTACTATGAAAAATATTAACCATGAGATGAGATATATTTATTAAAAAAAAATAACCAAAAATGACTGATTTAAACCTATTGTTTTTTTAGCTTTTACAGAAAACAGTTCTGAAATAATGAACCTTCACTAATTTTATGATTCCATTTGTAAGTCCGAATATTTTAAATAAGTTTGAAAACTATTCTTGCTGTTTCCCATTACATGCTGAGGGGTATGACAATGATGGGACATAGAAAATTTATCCATAAGCCTGCATTGGACAGAGATTAATGTTTGATTCTGAGATTCACAACACTTGCTAAAGGAGAAAAGTACAAAAAAATGATACCTTGTTTTTTATTAGCTCAATCTATATAAATAGTATTGGGAATTAAAATTGATCTTCATGTAACAAAATTTGTCATTTTCTTTAGGAGTTGTTGTTTCAATTGAAGCCGTTTCAAACACAGTGTTTGTTCTTTTGGGTGGAATTCTACATAAACATGTAATTGTTTGAGAAAATAATATAATGTAATTACTGATTTTGTTTTGATACATTATACTATTTATGCTATTTAAGGTAGGAAGCATGAATATTGTGATACTGGCATTATTCTTCCAATCCATTCGAATTATGGAACTAGGGTTTAATAGGTAAAAAATATGGTAATAATAATGATAATAATAATGATTTATAAATCATTATATGGACTTTTGATGTAAAGTGTCATGCTCAATTCACTATAATACTATTAAAACTTTTATTTCAATTTGCAAATAGGAGGAAATTGTAATAATTCAAAAAATTTAAAGATAATTCAACGCAAATAGTGAAGAAAAAAAAACAATAGTTTTTAAAAAGTAAATGAAAAGACTAAAAACAAATGATTTAAAATCAAAAATGGTTTGAATGACCTTGATGATTTATGAATCACTGCTAACAAACTTTTGAAAAAACAATAGTTTTTTTACTGAAAGAACTATTTTATTGAATGAATGATTTTACTAAAGAAACAATTTTACTAAACAAACAATTATACTGAATGATCATTCAGTGAGAAGAGAAACAAAATTGATGGAAAATAAAGGATATATTTAAAAAATAATTTTTTTTTATTTTGAAAAGTCTTTCATAAAAGATAATCACAAAATTGTACAAAATAATTTTTATAGTATTACTGTATTTCAATTTTTCCCAATTTTGGGATTCATGGGTCCCATGGACCCTCGTCCTTGGGGGGGAGGAGGGGGATCCCAGGACCCTGAAAACCACATTGGTTCAGAATTCTGATAATCTCTGCTTCTTCAATTTTGTCTGATATTCCAGTGTAGTAACTTAGAGAGTTAAAAACAAACAAAATCAATTGTTTGAATGATTGAAAAAAAATACTAACAAAATGGGTGGTTCATGAAGAATGAATGAACATAATGAAAAAAAGCCAAATGCGCCCATCTCTAACAAAAAGATCTTCCATAATGTTGATTAGTTAAAGGTTTACTGAGGATAAATGAACAAAATGAAAAAAGCCACATGCACCCATATATCTCTAATTTTCAATAATATGGATCAGTTAAAGGTTTAAAATATACCATTGTGTATTGGGCAATCCCTTTTTTAAATGAAGGGTCAATTGAAACACAAAACATACCCTTCAGTTAAGAATAATACTCTTGTGTTCAGGGTGTATAAAGATGATGAATCTAATGTTATGGGATCAGAAACCCCTCTTGCAATCATCATTTTTTCTATTTTGGAATGTCCTTCTTTTCAGGTTTCTAAAATATTATATTAATTCTAATGCTAAAGCTGTCCCTTGCAGGTTTAACTATTTGAGCCTTTTTTTTCTTTTATACTCTTTTTTGGCACATGTTAAGCATGAACAAGTAGAAAAAAGGCAACTTTTAAAGTTTAAAGATTTTTGAATTACAGATCAAAATATGGTTGAATTCAAATAGAAAAAACCAAACGCGTTTCAGGGCAGCCCTGTATATGATTTTGATAAATTGACATATTTCTTTAAGTGGGTTGGTGTGGTTGGATATGTACAGATGATAGCTCCAAAAAACCTGACTGGAATGGGTCTGGGACTAGCTGCATCATGCATGTTCATCATAGGTATCTAGCACCGTAATTCTTATGGAAACCTTATACATTTTTTTAGGATAACCAGGTTACTCAAATCTTCTAAGGATTTAAATGATTTTTTTGTTTGTTGGTAACATCCTTAAATTCCTTTTGGTAAAATCTTTCCTGGGGGTTATGTGAGGGCCCAAGATATGAGATAAGAAGTCTAAGTATTTCAGGTGTACAACTCCAAGTTCTCAGAATTAAACAACTTGGAAATTTGACCAAAGTTTATAAATTTAATATAAACAAATTAAATAGATAACACTTTAAGGTGTTCTACCAATATTAAAGGTTAAAGTAAAAATTGTTACTTATATACTAATATGTATATTTTTATTGTTAGGAAAAGGCTTAGGAAGTTTCCTGTCTGCCCAGCTCAACACTATGGTGGGTACAAGAATGATGCTCAAGATATTTGGATTTATTGGCTTTGGTTTTGCAATACCCTACACAGTCATTTATCACCTGTACATAAAGAAAACAGAAAACAGAAAAGAGAACTCAAAGAGATTGGAAGGAGTTGAAAATAAAGCAATGAATACAAAACTATAATCTGACTTCAAATAAATATCAATTAAATGTAAATTTCTAAACATTTATGTAACATTTAATTATGTATTTTGGTAAATTGGCCAGTTTTATTTTTATGTATATAATGTAGAAATAGAGATTTTTTGACAGCTACAACTCCATGGGGTTGTAGCTGAAGCCAAAAATTTTGTACATCTGGCAGGTTCCAATCTGAGCATTCACCTCCATTAAGATAAAGCTGCCTCCTGCACACCCTGAAATTAACAAATTCACTAATCTCAAAATATTTGGAGTAGTTTCAAGGAATGATTTTGCATCTTGAAATGTCTATATGTTTCCAGTCAGTTATTTTCCTTTTCCAAGACTGACTTGATATATTTTCAAAGTGTAAATTTTACTTTATGTAGCCAGGCCAAGTCCTGCTGCTAACAGCTTTTTAGGAACTATTTTCTGTACATAGCCAACCATTCCAACCCACTGAAAAGGTTAAAGAAATCCTAAGCAGTTTAGTATAATTCAATAATTTAAAAATCGTTGATCGCCAATAAGTAAAACTTTCAGATATATAAAATCTATTATATTGTTTTTTAAAGAAGAAAGTTGTTTTCTTCCTATCATTTAATTAAATAGAAACTTTATTTAAATTGGTAGAATACATTTCAGCCAGAAAAATCTACACAAAACACATTAAATTTTGCACAAAATTACTAGTCAGTTATTTTAAATATTAAAAAATAAAATTTCAGTTAGTCGTTAATTGTAAAGGTAAGAACTAAACGTTTGTTTCGTTAACAGCATTTTCTGTTTTTTAAAAAATTACCGTTAGTTAACAATCTCAATATTATTAAAAGCGTTAATGTAAAATTTTTAACAATTGTTAAATGGCTCTAGCCATAAATGGTACCATTATTACAAAACTAACGCTGCGAAGCGCTAAAATTTTTGTTTTATAAACACAGAAGATAACATTTAAAAACATCATTGCGCATTTTTCAACTTTTTACTGTTTTTAACTTTTTAACGTTTTTAACCGTTAATTTTTTTTCAAAAATGGCTAATCCGTTTTGTTAACAATTTAAAAATGAACGGTTTCTGCCACTCATTAATGGACTCTTCTGTTAATTTTTGAAAACCTCCATTCCATTAACGGAATTTTGCCCAGCCCTATAATCAGTGTGTCTGTATACTGTCTTAAAGTTATTAAAGAAAAACAAATCATTATAATAAATACTAGAATGATACATTTTGTGGTTAATGCCTTAAACTAGAAGCATGTTGTAAGATTATCTATAATATTTCATCAAACATATAAATTTTGCAAAAGTATTGTATGACTTTACTTTCTAACTTTTAGATCAATTAGTCTGTAGAAATAATATTGTGAAATAAAAATTAAATTCAAGCAATAAAATTTGACATTGTATTCATAGACTACGTTTTCTTTAAAAGATGTTTCAATTTGAAGCCACATCAAATATAGTGTTTGTCTTTCCGAGTGGAATTTCATCAAAATGTATTCATTTAACTATCAAACTTTTAAATATATTTTACAGAAATAATGAGGAATAGTAATAGTCATCCAATGTTTCTGTAAAAAGTATACTTTAAAATATTTTTAATGCAAATCTCACTTTACAATTTCCAAGGTTTTTTTAGGAGGGTCAAATCAACATAATAACAGGAGCATTCAAAGCAATAATCATTTTATGTTAGGAAAATCATAAAACTAGCATTAATGTAGAAAATGATTTAGTTTTGATATAATTTTGTACTTGATATCACAATATAACCTGATTAGGACTGGCCTTGAAGAATTTTTTTATTTCTCTTTCTTTACAAGTTTGTGAAGTAATCTAATGGGAAATAACAATATATTTATAATTTATCTAATTGAAATCTATACAATAAAGCTCTTTGCTTATATATACATAATAGATATATTTTTTCTAGCTTGGGAATTTTTTAGTTATTTTCCCCTCTAAAAGTCGACTAATTCAATTTAGAATCTCAAAGAACATTCCTGTGGTTCTCTCAAGTTCCCCAACCAAAGTTTTTTGCAAATTGGTCCAGGGGTTCTTGAGTTATGATCGGAAAAACAAACAAACAAACAGACAAACAGAGATTAAAACTGTATATTTATAAATTTTAGCGTCAGGCACAAAGACAGGGGGGGTAAGTAGTCCTCTTGCCCCCCCCTGGGCATCCTAGGGGGCCCTGACCTCCTCTGAGATTTATAGACATAGACAATCAGGTGTGGTGGGACAAAAAATGAGCTTGCCCATATCTTCAAAGCGTTCCTCCCCGAAGATAAAACAAGAAGAAAATTTTCTTGACACCATTTATTTCAAAATTTTATAAAAAGCATTTCCCTTTTATTTAAAATCTCCCCCCCCTCCCCCCAATTGATGAACAATTATAGATATTAATGATCTAGTTTGTAGAGTAACACAGAACTGTATAGAGGGATAGATTACCATTTTTAGTCCTTGAATCGGACTTCGGTCTTAAGAAGTTAGAGATTGAACTTAAAGAGATCGGAAGGAGTTGAAAATAAAGCAATGAACACAAAAATACTGGTTTAATTAAATATTTAATAAATGTGAATTTCTAAACAGTAAATTGGAAAATTTTTAGTTTGATGAAGTGAAGAAATAGAGACATTTATAAAGAAAGAAGATGGAGATTTGTTCATCATTAAAAACTCCATTTGAAGAACAGCCAAACTTGTTGACAACTAGACCTCCATAAGGTTGTGCTGGCTACTACAAAATCCTGACCTGATCAGTATAGGCGATTTGATCCATCACTGCAACATTAGTTTTTCAGCAATTTTTTTTAATTTCAATTTTTTTATCAAAATTTAAAAAGGGCAGTGAATTTTTTCTCCAACAGTTGACACTATTACATTAATAGTATTCTAACAAAACACAAACAAGGCAATTGTCTACTCTATCAATGATTGTTTTTCAAAATTAGACTTTTTCAAATCTTTTATTTACAATTTATTCATGTAAATCAATCATTACAATATAATTACTACAGCACTAAAATTTTTTTTTTGTGAATTTTTAATAACAAAACAAATTAACAACAGATAATTAAAGTCCCACAGTTTCCTTTGCATTAACAACTGGATTTAGCTCAATGTTATCAATACTTTCTTCTTTTGTCGTTTTCACTTCTGCTTTCTTGATCAACACGTGGTATATGACGTAATACAAAACAGTGCATGCAATGCCAATGAATCCAAATATTTTGTACATCCGGCGGGTTCCAATCTGAGCATTCACCGTCATTGAGATAAAGTTGCCCCCTGCAATCCCTAAAAGATAAACTTCACAAATCTTAAAGTATTTGGCGCATTATCTAGAAACCGTTCTGTTAGCTTTAGATGTGTCTGCACTCTGCATGCCCTATTCGTTTTGTTTATTATTTTCCTATACAATTAAATGGACTTTATAAGCATAATTTAACAAAGAAATCTGTGGTTTTTAAATTGCCGAAAAAACTGGAGTGCACACTGGTGTTAAAATTCTATAATCCTGAATATTTGATGTCTAACACAGTTTTCTAAAGTTTAAATTAAATATATATTTTCTTCAAGTTCTGTTAATGTCTGAATTACAAAACAACTTCAAGTCAGAGTTATCAACAATTACTACACTGTGTTTTGTGGAGAAACAAGATAAATTCCATCGTCCTTGATCAATCAAATTTGTAAAATGGTACACTTGTGAATCAGACATGCCCCACTACAAAGTTTAAATGTTACTTTTACATTTATTTTAATATAAACAGCAATAATGTACAGTTTAAAACTCTTTACACCTGCTACATAAGCACATGATGCAGCCAGGCCAAGTCCTGTTGCAAACCGGTTTTCAGGAACTATTTTCTGTACATAGCCCACCACTCCAACCCACTGAAAATGGAAAGAAAAACATGGGACATCACACTATTGAAAAATCGACACAACTTTGATTATTTTTAAATTATTTTAATATTGACAAATAGCAAACCTTTAAAAAATCTATCTTTATATTATTGTAATCATCTGTAAAGATTAGTTTTAAGTCATTTGATTCCTTGAACACTGTTTTGAGGAGGTGGTAAGATATGTCTGCAGGAAAAATAAACATAAAAAATCACCAGAAAAAAAGACATATATTCTGCCTAAATTCCACCTGAAAAATTCCGATTTCCACAATAGCCAAAAGCAATAACTCTATGGGAACTTCAGTTCTATCAATCTCTTCTGTTACTCCAATATTATACTCTCTAGATATTACATTTTCAGAGGACTGGACATAACCGTTAAAAAGCCCATAGAAAATTCTAACCGCATTGCTTGGTTCCCATTGCAGCCTGTGGCGCCTCAGAAGGCCTATCCAAACCGTCATGTAAAATTACGACGACAATTGCTTAAAATCTCTATCCTACCTGTTGAAACCAAATATAACAATTTTTGAGGAAATGATCAATACCGACAGAATTATGATATTCATACTCCCCATCTAAAGAAAAAAAATAATTAAAAATATTGCTATAAAATATTTTTGTTTGTTTACATATTTTTGAAGAAATCCGCCAACAAGAGTGAACAGCGCACTAGTTGCTCCGCTCACAGCAAATATGATTCCTAAAATAAAAAACCTTTCTTAAAATCATAAAAATACTCATTCATAAAAATAAACAAACAAAAATTTTTCATTTATTTAATTTTTAGATTTAAAAATAAGGTGTTTTTGCATTTAATAAGTACTACTGTAACATCTAAATCTTCTAAATAATGAAATGTCATCTCAAACAAAATGTTTGATACATAGACATACTGATTAAGGAAACTAATTACTCCCCTAAAGTTATGATTTTCCAATCCTCGTATCTTTGCTAACTGAAGGAGACCTTTGATATTTCAAATTAATGATAAAAATGTTCACAAAGATATAGTGATTGGAATATTGGAAAATAGAGATATCAGAGCTGGGAACTTTAGAATGGTGGATATCAGGATTAATGCTTAATCCTCTGTTTTTGCTAATCTCAAGGCTAATATAATCTCGAGATTATGTTAGTCTTGAGATTAAATATCTAGATCAACAAATTGGATTCTATGAATGCCAGATTGGTTCGTTTTCCTAACTTAATTTCTCACCTATTTATTTATTAATACATTAGTTAAAATTGGTTACAAAAGAATCTCAAACGTATTATTAAATATTTTTTTCACCGATTAATTTACAAAATGAAAGAAAACAAATTCTTAATTTGTTAGAAATTGCAGATTTCTCTCATGGGATAGAATTTATTTTCAACTATATTCCTTCACTCTCATTGAAGAAAATAATGTACAGATATCGAAAGAGAGAGAAAAAGAGTGGATTAAGGACTAAAATCAAAAGTTTCCACAGTGGATATTCGGATTAAGTAGTTGGGATTAAAGGTTATCCATTCTAAAGTTCCCTGCTCAGTTCCATAATCTTACCAACCCATCTCTTGGATATATTGAGATCTTCTGCAATATAAATAGCATAGAAACCATCAAAAACTCCAAGTATTATACCATAAACAAGAAGGAAACAATAGAAACCAATGGCAGGCAAGCTCCAAATCCTTAAAAAAGGCATAATTTACTAAAGCAATGACAAAAAAATATATTTTTTGTTTTGCTGCATATTTTTCAAAATTGGTCTATATGTCAAAATGATTTTAATAACTAAGCATTTATTTTTCCTTTTTCAAGAAATATAACCACAGAACAGAGATTAGAATAGAAGTGAAATAAGGCTATGAATTTGTTCAAAGGGATTTGAGCCTGGAAAGGATTTCAAATAGGGTTTCCATTTTTGGAAATGGAATGATCCAGAAATTTGTTGCGTAAACCGGAATTCCGGGAAAATTCCGGTATAAATTGAAAAATTTCCGTTTTACGGAATGGAAACCGTAAAATTTCCAGTTTCCATTTCGTAAACCGGAAAAATTTCCGGTTTCCATTCCGTAAACCGGAAATTTTTACGGTTTACGTAACGTAAACTGGAAAATTTCCATTCCGTAAACCGGAACTTAAAGAATTTTTCTTATTTTAATTAAATTCATATTTACAAAGTTTGAAAAAAAAAAATCGTTCCGGAATTCCGGTTTTCCGGAACCTTTTCCATAATGGAAATGGAAAAAATTTCCGGATCATTTCCGTACGTAAACCGTAACCCGGAATTCCAGTGGAAACCCTAATTTCAAAGTGTACAATTCTTATAATAGTTCCTATTAGATAGTTTATGATGAAATGGACACTAGGATGTTAAGTAAGCTTTAACTGAAATTAACTCGGGAATGCATGACTGTTAGTCAGAGAATTCATTTAGAGAAAATAAAATAATTTTCAAGATAATTTTGTTTCTATAATAAGATGTTCCAGGACCCAAAAGGTTATAAAGTACAAATGTATGAAGTACACCTGTACTGTGGAACCAACAAATTGGAGATTCTACACTTTTTTGGCTTAATTCCATTTTATACTTATCAATTTTCATGAACATAACATTCGAAGTAAGAAATTATTAACTTAAAAATGTCTAACTTACCAATTTAGTTCTGTACTCCATTTCGTTTTCTTTATCTCTTCTTTTACCGTTTTAAGTTCAAGTTCTGTTTCTGGTTCTGATTCCAGTTCCTTTTCCGGTTCAAGTTCAGTCTCGTCGATAAAGAATGCGCAAAACAACATGGCCGCCACCATGAATCCGGCATAGAAAAAGAACGGGAGTTTAAAATCTTCCTCATTCTTTTCTAACCCTGTGCAATCAAAGAGTGTATGTTAAAGGATTTTATTGTTCATTTTGTTTTAACTTTTGAATTTTTAAGTTACTGCAGGCGTCAGAGAGGGACATGCTTGATTCACAAAAGTACCAATGAAACCTTTGTCCAAGCAATATTGTGGAAGATATCGCCGTAGTTTTACTAGCGCCATTACTATTACTATTACTATTACTATTACTATTACTATTACTAATACTAATACTAACATGTTTAAATGTTAAATCTCACAATTTTTCCATGGTTTTCCTGCATTATAAATGCAAGTCACTTTTCCAGAGAAACCACAATTGAAAATAATCATTTTTCAAAATTATAAACATTAATATATAACTCATACTTGATCAAAGAACAGTTTTATGGGTAAATTTGTAAATCAGACATCCCACTCTTTATGAAACTACGTTCACAGACTCTCTAGAAGCAGTAAAATAATTTAAAATACAGGTTATAGACATGTAAGTAGGGATAACGTTTTCATTTTTCAGAAAAACGGTCGTTTCGTTATGATAACGACGACGAAAAATCGAAAACAAAACTATCGTTTTTTATAAAACTCGTCGTTTCATTAACGATCGTCAACGACGACCCTTTGTTAATGATCGTTAACGACGACCCTTTGTTAACGGTCGTTAACGACGAATCTTCGTTAACGATCTTTAACGACGACCCCTACGTTAACAATCGTTAACGAAGAGAGGAAACCAACCTGAAGGGCATCTGTACTTATTATTGAGTAGTTTTTAAGAAAGTATGACGTAAGACGACATTCATGTAAGACGACATTCAATAAGGTTGCATGTAATTTCCAAAAAAGACCGTTTTGATAAAGTTCGTCGTTTTTTTAACGATCGTTAACGACGACCTTTCGTTAAAAATCGTTTTTTCAAAAAATTTCAAAAAAATTTGTTTGTTTTCAAAAATTTTGTTTGTTCAAAAAAACTATGCCCGTCTCTATTATTACTTTAGTCACTCCTATAACACAATGACTAAATCTAGTCCCTTTTGTAAAATTGCGCTATGGGGGCCAGGGGGTAATTATTTTCCAGGTTCAAATTTTACCCTACAAACCACGTAATGTTGCTAACATATACACTACTTAAGTTTAAGGTTGCCAGTTTTAGGATAAGAAATAATGCAAAGAATGTCAAGGTACTAATGCAAGGAAAGTTATTTTCGGTCGCGTATACTCTGCGTACATATTAAACCAGTTTTCTCTGGACGGAATCTGTAAACAAGAATAGATGCATCAGTGTTCGTCAGTATCCGAGGAAGATAAAAGCATTCAATTTTGATAATTTTGAAAATTCACATAATAGTTTCCTATGACAAGAATATTTCATTGATTATTTTTGTGAAAATTGATTCCATGTCAGGCTTTGACATCCCTCTTGTGTTTACTTTTCCGCCCAAAGACAGTACACTGCAGTGCAAAAAATGTGTACACCTCTGAAATAACTTTCCTTGCATTAGTACCTTGATGAATGTCATGTTCTTTTTTTAAATTCTCTGAATAACAACAATAAATACACTTTACCTGTAACACAGTCAATCTGTTGGACATCAAACGAAACATATTCCAGCATATAGCCTAAATATGTAAACAACTTCAATTAATGTTCAATTAATTTTTTCTTTAACAAAAAAATAATTTTTTATTTTAAAACTAATGAATTATTTTGTTAAAAAAATCATGTTTCTTGATTTGAAAATAAATTATCAAACCTCATTTTTGTTTAGCTTTTTATGACATTGTCATTGAAATAATTTGTGAAGAAAAAAACTTACCAACTGCAATAGGAGAAATAATGTTAGCAAGGCTTCCAAAAAAACAAATAGTCCCCCATTCAACATTTATTCTTGTTGCCATTTTTGTTGCTATTGCGTCAGCTATATTATAGCCAGGAAACAGGGAGTACTTGAAAAGGATACGCAAACTTAAGTACAATCCCAATGTTATTGCACGGCTCCCAAATATAATTTCATTAATTTCATCTTTCAATAGAACTTCGCAGTAAATCAGGTTGGAATCATCTTCATCAATGTTATAAATACAAACATCTAAACCATATTGATTGCATGCTTTTCTTGTAATATTATCAAAGATGTCTTCTTGTACATACATTTCCAGATCATATTCGCTGTTGGGGCAAATAATTTTCTGAATAGTAAAACTCAATGTGTCTTGACAGCTGAAGTTCCCATCAACATATTCAGAAAATGATTTTATCTTGACAAATTTTGTTCAGAAAGAATTTTTTAATGCATGACCTAAACATTAGCAAATTTTGTACGTCCACTTCTTCCACTTAGATCCAATGGGTTCCCAAATACCCAAAGGAATTGAGTCTTTGGAACAAAATCAAATATTTAAACCTCAATATCTTTAGAACCCGATGTTGTAAACCTTTGATATTTCAAACTCAGATTATTTGATCTAACAAAATTCATAGTTTGAAATATCTAAGGTCTGCAACATTTGGTTCCAAAGATATAGTGATTATAAAATCAGAGTTTGTGGCAAAAACTCAATTCCTTTGTTTGAATTTTGATTAATTTTCAGATAAAATTTAAAAATAAGAAGATCTGAGTATTTTCTTTAACTCAAATTTCTGAACAATCCCTTTTTTGCTGAGCTCTCTATATCATCCATGGAGTCTATTCCAATCTAGAAATATTTCAGTTCCTAAAATTTTTAAAATTTCCAAACTGTTTTATAAATAACTAGCTGAAGTCCCCAGCATTGCCTGTGGAATTTGTTCAGATCAAATTTTGAAAAAAAATGATTTTTTTTGGCCTATGTTACCCTGGGAAACCAATGGGTCCTCTCAACAAATTTCAGCCCATTTGGTCCAGCCGTTTGGCCAGCCAGAGGGAATGTCTTGTTTTATTATATAGATTAATTCTTTCCTGATATTTATGTACAGTATTTACTGTTGGTATGTACAAGGTAAAAACTTGTGACGCACTGAGACCCATTAAAACAACAAACATCTTTTTGTATCCAATTTTATCTCCGATATAACCTGTAAAGTGTAAAACATTAAGTAATTGGTATCTATTTTAAATACTCTAATTTTTGTAATTAACTGTCAAAAATGTTCAAAAGCAAAATAATTGATTTGTTTGAAAAAAAAGTTTTGATATATTGTTGATCTTATACTTTACGTCCATAGAATTTTTTTTAGAAATTCGATACAATGAAATTTTGCATGAATTTAAAAGTGATCAGAGTCCAAAACTAAAGAACGAAAAGTTTTGACTTAAATTTTAAGTTCATGGTTAAATGCCACTTCTGACTTAATTTAAACCTGAACTTTAACCCGGAGGTTAAATATTTAATCCTGTGGTTAAATATTTAACTCGCCGAAATCGACGAGTTAAAATTTAAACAGAGGTTTAAATTATCTTGAAATCCTGCATTTTCCCTATTTGTCTATTATTCAATCATCATTCAGCTGCAGCTGAGAAAGCGGCATTCAACTTAACGATATATTTAAAAGTGAAAACCTTGTTAAAGAAAGAAACAGCTGATTAGCGATGGTTATGTAATACTCTCCGTAAATCCTTTTCTCTGATTGGTTCAGATTTTCCCGGGAAATTCAAATTTAAAATTGAGAAAGTTTAATATTTAAGTAGCTATTCATTATTTTACAGAACTTTTAACCTCGAACTTAAAATTCGCGCATTCTTTAGTTTTAGACTCAGGTATCATACTTTATGAATAGCAAGAAGTTGTTGAACAGCAAAGACGTGGTTAAACAAATTTTAATCAATTTAAATCCATGATCAGGGTTCTCTCTCTTTTACAAGATTTAGTTCCAGGATATATTATTTAAACTTGCTGGATTTATTATAAATAAATTCCTTTAAACAACCACTTTTTGCTTAAAAGTTTTGATCATTCTGGACCTCTGCAGGAACATTGTTGAGAAGATATTCTTTGATGTATTTAAATTAAAAGAGTGGGGTAATAATTCCATATTTCTTTAAAAGGAAAACAATTTGTTTTAGTTTGCCACCATCACAGAAAAAGAATTAGAGAATTTCATATCTTTTGCAAATGAAGATGAATAAGCAAATAAATACTATTGAGATGTTTAAATACTTCAAGAAAGACCAAATGCTTTTGGAAAATAACAAAATTGGCTAGTTTTTGATTTTGCTATTTATGTATATTTATATTTCCTTGTTCTAGATTTCTAATGATTCTTTTCATTTAGGGTAACATGCCGGCTGAGAAAAATTTATGAAATATCAATTTCCCAAATATTTTGCTAAAATCTCAGCACATATCCTTGAGACTGTTCATTTGATGCTGAATTACTAAAAAGATTACATTGCAAGAAAAAAACCTTTCTGATTGCAAAAGGAATTGTGAGAATTTCACTAATTGGGTAGCTTTTTTATGGTTTTGTTTCTTTAAGTATGCTTCTTTCAATTTACCAGTGATTGGAGAGGAGGGTAGGGAGAGACAAGTTGACAGTCCATTGACAAGTATAATGTCTGATACTGATAAACCCAAACTTAACCCTTGATAACTTAGAACTGGATTCAGACAAGCAGCTCCTAGAACAAAAAAAATAACAGACTCAACTTTATTACGAATGGTGGGCGGGGGTGGGGGGGTGCATGCCCCCCTCTTGAGTTTTTTCTCCCTAACTTAAAAACAGCTTACACTAAACATAAACTTCTTCACTTTTCAATTTCAAAATCTGCTAAATTATTTGCTGAATGCTGATGTATTATATGGTATAAAGGTGGAGGACGGTCAAATGACTGGTCAGTGTTTGAAAAAAATAAAAATAAAAAGTAACAAAACTCTCTAGAATTCTAGAGAAGGAAAGCAAATCTAATGATTTACCTAATTTTAAAAAAATGTCAAATAATTCTTTTTGAAATAAAATCATTCTATGTATTCGGTAATGTAAAACTACAGTAAAAATTGAGTTAAATAGAAAACTCTGAAATAGGAAGACGACTTTTAGATACACAACAATTGTGCAGTGTAAACAGGCCCATTTATCTAAATAAGTGATTTACTAAGGTCTAGTAAACCTTTTTGCCTTGTAACAACATCGAATATAATTTCTGTAAATTTGCTATAATGTCGTCTTCCTATTCCATTATCTTCTGGTTAACACAACGTAGTACACCTAGATTCATTAAAGCATAAAGAGATATCGGCTGTAGTGCTTTTTTGATTTTCTCTGACAACTTCATTCTGCGTCTATTCAGTGTATACTGTCGTAGAATTCAAGAAATATTAATTATTATAATTCTGAGGTTGAACATAGAATGATACAGTTTTGTGGTTAATGTCTCACAATCTTACGAAAGTATTATTTTACTGTCAGATTAATTTTATGTGGCCAGCTCCATCCAAAGATACCATTGCCAGTGTTGAAATGGAATGGGCATGTAACTTTTGCAGTAAAATTGCAAATGAAAATAAAAAGAGCTGAAAGCTTTAGAATGAGATATCCTTAATCCTGATTGCTTAATCTGAGTATTGTACACACTTTTGATTTTATTCTTAATCCTCATTTTTGGATATCCCTATTGTTTAAAAGTTACGTTTGATAACAATTACAGATACTTAATGCTATATCGATTGAACTAATATCCAATTGAACTAAAGTCAGCTGTTCACAAGCCGCCCTTTAGAGCATTTAAGCAAATATAAAATTAATCATGTTAATATGAACATATCAAAAAATATTTTATCACATTTTAGGACTGTCATCATTTTAAACGTTAGTCTTTATTATTTATTTAATTGATGTTTAGTTTAATTGATATGACACAATTAACACCAGAAAAAAAAACAGTTTTCCAAAAGTTAAAAAGTACATCTTAACATGATACGCTGATTGGTTGAAATTTATACTTCTTGATATCCATCGTTTTAAAGTTTTCAGTTTAAAGAAATAAAAACATTGATATCTAATTCACACTTGATCAGAAAAAGCTTTCAAGGGTACCTTTGTATGGTGGGTCACTAGAAATTACGCTTACAGTCCCTTTAACTTTTTTCATTAAAGGTGGTGGCCGAAATAATAATTATTTTTGGCTAAATATCTTAACTTTAAAATGCTGTTTTATAACTACAAACTAAAAGGTGAAATAAAAGTAACACAACTATAAATTGTGTGAGGACACAATGAATAACAGCCGACAAATATTCAACATCAGGGGCGCCACGCGCCATAAATACTAAAAAGGAAGGGGGGGGGTAAAACAAAATCTTTATAAGTTACTGTAAACGTTACATCGTCAAAAAAAATCTCATGAATCGAAAGAAGGAAAAATAACTTGATTTATGTTTCCCGCTCTTTGCTAAAGATTATTTATGCCCCTAGCCCTTAAGTTGGTATTTAAAGGTATTCAAATAGGTTTGTGTTAAAGAGATGAGGGGGGGGAGATGAGGGGGGGAGGGGGATTGTAAAACAAAGGATAACATATCGATACAAAGAGGAATTATATAATACTGTACAGTGTGAATATCTTTTCTTAAAAATGGGTGTACGTGTAATTTCAAGTGACCCTCCATGCAAAGATTTATAAAAGTATAAATTATAAGATATCAATTTTTATAACTTTGAAAACTGATTATTTTCTATTGTGAATTTTCCACTTTTGCATTTGTTCTGCAGATAAATATAAACATATAGGAGATATCAGAATTATACACTTATAAACCATAAAAATTTGTTTTACACATAATCATTCAGTATTAATTTTTAAATTATTTTTTCTGGATGAATCTTTTAAATCACTGCAAAAATAGTTGATCCGAATGAAAGTTTAAAGCAATTTATTTTTATGGCTAAGAATTTAAAAACGCTAAATTTTCCATTCATTTTCTAAAATTTTCTTAAAATATAACAAATCGAAAAATATCTAATCTCCTTTTTAAAACTCTAAATAAAAAGAAAAAACTACTTTTATTTATCTATATTATTTCTCAATAACTATCCCCCTGAAAAAAAATTGCGACATAAAACATTATTATTTGTTAAACATCTCTTGAAAATCCTTTAAAGGTAAAAGTTGTAAAAAATGTTTTTAAAGGCCTGCTTAAATTCTACATAAAAAACATTTCTGCACGCAGAATTGATGCCGGGAGACTGATTTTGCAAGATGTGCAACCAAGCAAAGTAAGAAAAAATTTGAAAAAAACTAGAAAATTAATTATAAAAAATCTAGTATAGTAAAGAAACATCGTGAATACTTGGCCACCGTCTTGATTGATTAATTTGACCCATTAAGACTTGATAAGACTGATCACCAATTAAGATACCAAGAAATTAAAGAAATTAAATACTGAATACTTACATTTTTAAAGATATTTATATCTACTAAAATATACACATTTAGATTAACACTTTAATCTTGAATACAAAAACGTTTGGTATGTACAGTGGTAGGTGATTATATCAATACAATGAAGACGTTGTCAATTTTAAAAGGTTGTTAGTAGTTGATTCTCTTGCGCAACAGTTTCGTGGTTTTGCACTAAATGATTTTTTTGCACGAAATTTCGCATCATTTTCGTATCAATACGAAACCAGTTTTGCACGAAATTTCGCATGAATGCAAAATTTAAGTCATAATTTTTTCTCGATATTGCGTATAAATACAGATCATTTTTGCATGTAATTGTGCAACGCCCATGAATTTGGAATTTTTGTGCTGCAGTATTGCGCATAAATACAAAATTAAGTACTATTTGTTGCATGTCATATAGATTATCCCTATTTATTGATAACCAAGGTATAGTGCATAAATATAAAGGATTTTGATATTTGGAGTTTGGACAGTATTAGGTGAATTAGTTTCAGGAAAAAAACATACATAGCAGTATTTTATCAATCAAAAATATGTAGTTACAAATTATTATAATATTCATAGTTTAGACACTGTTAAAATTTTGGTTCCTTTCTGTAATAAAATTTTTTATGATAAACGTGTGTTAAAAAAATGCGCAAAAACGTAAGAAAATTTTTGCCTGGAAACCCTACTTGTTAGCAATCAAATCAAAGAGTCGTCTTCAATGTATTGATATAATCGCCTACCAACATATGTATACAACCAGTGGCGTACACAGGGGGGGCAGTAGTCCTCTTGCCCCCCCTGGAAGTTCCAGGGGGGGGCCTGCCCCCCCCCTGGAAAATACGAAATTATGTAAACAACTGTTAATTTTTTACAATAATATCCTTTCTTCACACACCAGAAGAAATACTAACGTTGTGTTCGACTTTTAGAAATTGATTGAAGATCGTTCGAACTATCTATCTGTGAGATCTGGCTAACAGTGATTGCTCTTATTTAAATCTCAGATTTGTATAAGTCATCGTTAGATGTTGATGTTGTCATAGGACGTTCCTAAAAGTCTTATTGATTGATTGATTGATTCTCATTTTGGCTTTATTTTGTTCTGCATATTTCTGATTTGTAAAAGGAAAAAATGTGATATTTATAATTTATATGATTTAAAATACACTTTATACTTATTTGTAGAGGGAGTGACCGGTTATGTATGTATGTTGAGCTGAGTATGTAGTGTTGTGGACAAATTCTTTAGGATTCGTTTGAGAGATATCAAACGATTCTACGATGTATTATTACTGAGCTTGCGCGCAAAGTCGACTTTCAAAATAGTCTATTTGGGTGAATACGGTTTGAGAATTGGTTTTTTCAAATTATTAGATAAAATGTAAAAAAAAATCTACAATAAACGTTGATGGCATAAATTATAATTTTAATTTACATTGTAAATTTTCTTTTGCAAATTCAAATTTTAAGAATCTTTTACTTCGTGAAGTAATCCATGGGACCGGATTTAATGAATAGCGAGAAGTGGTTGAACTAGATCTTTTGTTTCATTACTTCCGTATACTTAGATACTAAATTCCCATTTTATAAAGATAAACAAACGCACCTCATTTTTTCAGACTTTTTCATTTAATATGATTTTTTGAATTTGCATTATTATTGCAAATCTTTTGTTACCCCCATTGTGACGTATTTGGATATTATTTTGTTTTCCGCTTTTCAATTGTGGACTTTAATTCTAAAACTTTATGGAATATTTTGTAAATTTAGATCAAAAATGCCTGGAATATAATGTGCTCAACTTTTGGTTTTACATAACTTCACATTTTCGTTTCAATTGATAAAATCGGTACAATATTTTGCAAATCTAAAACTGTAATTTTGACACCACAAAACGGAAACAACAAAAAATTTGCATTGAAAAAAATTGTTTAATGATTTAAATTTTTCAAACACTTTTGCATTTACGATTAATGTGCAAGGGGAACACAATTAGGAAAATTCTTTTAAATGTCGTCTTACAAAAAAATAATCTGTAAAACAACTCTCTCTCAACAATTTAAATACATCAAAAGCTTTAACAATTATTTACGAAAATAATTTTTTGAATTTTAAATCAAGTTAAAAGTGAATCCCAGATATATGAATACATAGACCGTCATAAGTTTTTTTGATAATTATAAAGAAACTTCTTTTTTTAATTCAAGGTAAATTAATAGCCCAGAGATAGAATTTAAAGAATTTGAGCCGCGGTTTAAATCCGCCAAAATCCGCCAAAACCCGGTTTAAATTTAGCGCCGGCTTAAATCTTGAAACATTTGATACAATTTTAAGTGGAACCAACCATATTTAAACCGAGGCTTAAATTTAAACCGCCGCTCAAATTCTTTAAATTCGGCCACTGAAATATGAATGCAATTGATATTGATATTTTTCCGTGGTGACCGTGGCATTTGATCTTAAATATGTAATACGACATAATAAAAAACTCTAGCTATGTATTCATATATCTGCGATTTACTGTATTAATAATATAGAATTCAGCCGTTGAAAATTATCGCTATCTCAATTAAAAGTTCAGACCTCTAATTTCGATCGTGGTTTAAATAATTCTGGAACAAATATAATAAGCTGTCATTGGGATCTAAATCAAGGTTCGAACCTTGGAACTTTAACGTTAGAACAGAGACGAATTACGAAATTTTTTTAATTTGATAAAAAAACATTCTTGAAATCAGTTTGCGAAGTGCAGTGTAAGGTTTCAATAAAAACAATGCATTTAAATGAATTCAATTGTAAAAATTAACTTCCTGCTGACAGCAGGCATAGTTTTAATATTTTACGCCAGGTACCTTTATTCATATGAAAATATTGTTATTATAATGTTTTAGAATTCAAAAATTATTTACCGTCCAATATTTCTTTCTCGATCCAATAAATTCATTGTTCTCAATGTAAAATCACTTTTTACGTAATTCCAAGTGATGTCAATTCACAATAACATCCATACATCGAAAGAATTCATCAAATGTCGTATTCTTCACTTTCTGTTAATGTAACAACATGCATACAATTAGTATTCATGATCCCCATATGTAACTTGGATAAAGAAACCATGTCCAGATACAAAAAGTGCATCTTTAAGATTTTATTTACAGGCAAAGAGTATAGAATATATATGAATTTTGGCAGTCTCTTTCAGCCTGAAAGGGAGTTCTAAGTGTACAAATCACAAATTATATTCAGTAGAGTACATTAATACAGTATGTTCCCTAGACTATCCATTTCAATTTCAAATTTTTTAAAGCGGTTAAATAAACTCTATAATGAATTAGGTAAATAAAAACATAATTTGATTTATAGTTATAACGAGAAATCATCGTTTGGAAAGTGAAAGGCATAGGCCATAGAGTCTATGTGAAATGATCATTGGTCAATTATGAAACCAGCCTATTTCATAATTTGGTTTTCTTTTAATATTAATTACATTATTCATTTCATTTTTTTTTAGGAAATAAAGAGTTTTCTGCATTATCGATTTTGATTTGAGGGTTATTCCTTGTCTATCTGTTCATCGTCAGAATCTTGTTCCTTAGCGACAACAAATATGTATTCTATTCTCTTTGTTTACATGGTACTGTTTTGAATCGGACCTGGAAAACTCTATACATGGAGAATACCTTTAAAAACTTTGTAAAACAAGAAACAAAACTTAATAATTTTTGCTGAGATAAAGGTTTGAAGGATGTTGCCTGCGTAAATCGGAAAAGTTACGTCAGCAATTATTTAACTTTTTTTTCAGAACTGATGGAATTGTTATAAAACCTGTAATATCAGTGAGGGGTAAATATCATTTTAAAATACTTTTTATTCCATTTCCTTTTGTTTTGCAAGTAAATAATTATTAAAAATAAATGCCCTTTTCGGTAAGCTGTAGCTGATATAGAAACAAACATTTACATTTATCCTCGTATATATCAATACAATGAAGACGTCTTTCGATTTCAATTTTGGATTTCTACCAAGCTTTCAAACAGCTTGAATACACATAAACATGGAGGTAAAGAGAAGCTGTCAATTAACAACTTCTCTTGCAAACTTGTAATTTGAAAAAACTTAAAAAGATAGGTTGTCTTGTTGTTGACCATAAATACAACTTCTAACCCCCCTCTCCCGTAATTGTCGTCTTTACCGAAACCCCTCTCGGAGAAACTCCAAACCAAAGCAAGTCTCTTCAAATTTATCCGTACTCTCCAACAAAAGAAACAACAAACAGTTAAACGTTTTACTAAGTGAAAGATCCAACCAACCAACCTACCTAAAACCCAAGGAAAGGCCTCCCCCCCCCCTCAAGTTCTTAAAAATGTGCATGGTGCTCTCATCTATATAATAAAACAAGACATTCATATATATGTTCCCTATAGCCGGCCAAACGGCTAGACCAAATGGACTGAAATTTTTTGAGGGAACCCATTAAATTCCACGCACAACGCCTTTCAGCTATTAATTTATAATCTTCAATAGAAAAATTAATGAAGTGAAATATTATTAAAGGGGTCGTATATGTAACTTCAAGGGACCCCACCCAATACAACAAGGAGATAGCCGGAGGTTTCATCTTCTTTCCTCGGCGGCAAATTACTGCTTTTTTAATACAACATAATTTCTTCAATATTAGTGTTGATACGAAATGAACTTAAAATTACAGTAATGAATAACACTAATAATTTGACAAATTTGACAAAAAATATTATTTATTATTACCATTAAACCTTTAATTGCTTAATACTTGTTCAACACCAACAGTTAAAAAAGTTAATTTTTTGAAAGAAAACAATTGATATCCCCGGTGTTCTCTTATTCAGACAACTGTCTTGTATGGGTACCGTTGAAAGTTGGACATGTAAATAAATGAAGGGTAACTTGTAATTGCATCTATACATGGTCTTATTTACGTACATAAGCTATCTGTATCTGTGGAATTAACATTAGAACAAAGTAAACTTTTCTTATACAGGGTCGTCAATGTTTTATACAGGGTGTCCCAATAAACATGGGAATTCAGTGACGAATTGGATATCGTCTTTGTTATGAATTTGCATTGTAATACATAATTTCAAAAGCCATAATATTATTATGTCTGCTAGAATTTATTTTATGAAAAGGGTAAATGGTTATAAAGATGTGTATATAATGTCTCAGCAAGAGAAACAGTGAAGACGGACAAGTTTACTCTGTTTGTATACTGCAATTTTCTTGTATTACGAAGCACAACCGTATGCAGCCAAAACATAAACAAACAAAATGTGAACATAGCAGACGAAACTCTTACAGCTTTCTCAGTAGGTATCACTACACTAAATCAAAAAATTATTTAAAAAGACGATATCGAATTCGTCACTGAATTCCCATGTTTATTGGGACACCCTTTATGACTTTCTTTTTCAATAATATAATTCAAAACCAAAGGTTATTTTCCCAGCTTCTCTTTGTTTACATGTGTATTTGTTTCTGCTGAATAAAAGCATCGAAGAATCAAACCTAAACACAAAGTTTTCATCATTGAGAGATATAAACGCTGATCATTTTTTAGCTGGTGTCCGTTCTGCCGGAAAACCAACTGCCCATAAACAAGGCGGATCGGCACCGTCCGGAAAACGTGGCGGAAAGCCTGGAGGGAAATCTGGCGGTAAACCTGGAGGAAAATCTGGTGGGAAATCTGGTGGAAAATCTGGCGGAAAATCTGGCGGAAAAGCAGCTGACCGTAAAAGAGGGTCTAAATCTTCATCAGGTTTATGTTTCAGTCACACTTTTTCTCTTCTGAAATTTTTAAAAAACTAAATTTTTATAGTTTTCTTTAAAGTTTAAGACAACAAAAATTGATAATATTTTTCAGGTCAGAATGACCGTCATCAAGATCAGTGTAGGAGAAATCCTCAACTAGCAGAGTAAGTAACAACTATCTAACTCCTATAGTGAACCAGAAAATTCTGAAACAGGAAGACTACTTTTAAAATCAAGTTTTAGCTTTAAATAGTCCAATGGGCATGTAAACAGCTAGACCCACTTCACTAAACGAGTGATCTAATAATTGACAAGAAAAACTGTAAATGCTTTGTAACAACATTGCTATTATGTCGTCATCTATTCTTTGCTTTCTTATTGTTTCTGTATATAAATACAAAATATTGCACATCTGAATTATATATGATTTTATACATGGGAGTTCATAGACAACTTAAAAGTCGTCTTTGATATCTGATATTTTATGCCTGGCAAAGAAAATGTAAAAACAAGTATGTCTTAAGGTTTTTCATAAAGGGGTCTTGTGTTCTAAAGATTGACGATTGGTTTATTGAATAATTTGAAATTTGCAAAAATTTTGCAATATCTCTAATTCTATTCAGAGGATAAAAAATGGTAAACCACGTTTTGAAAATCTCAAGACCAGGCTTTTTCACAATTGGACGTTTAAACTGGAATACTGCAGCAATAATTATGAATGAATTAAATTACTATGAAGACGACAATTCCAGAGTATCTATTCCCTTAAAAAACAACCTTCGTTTGATGAGTCGTTACTTAGTTTTCTACTTTCAGATGTCAGGAGTTAAGAAATAAAACGCTGAGTATGGAGAAAATGGCATCAAGTTCCAATATGGAAAGAATGGCAACAAATTCGGGTGCAGTGAATAAAGCCGCCATTAATATTGATAATTCTGTTTTCTTCTGGATTATTTTGAAATGTTTACAATAAACTCTAAAATCTGAAAAAACTATTTTTTTTCTTTCTGAAAGATTCTAAAGATGTAAACCATTAATGAAATTTAGTATTCTATATCTACAAAACCCGAAACTTAAGAGATTCGTTTTACCATGGTTAAATTTCTACCGTAGATAAAGTAGATGGTTTGGTTTGGCTATCATAAGATGAAAAATTGTTTGTTTTTTACTATGAATGACATTACAAAACTAAATTACCCTTTTTATTCAATTAACTCTTTAAATCTTAAATCTCTCTCTGTTTTGAAATGCATTGCGGCATTCGCGAGTAGGGTTTCCGCGAAATGGCTATATTTTTTGCGCAAAATTTGCGCTATTTTCGCGCAAATATTTTTTTTGCGAACTTTTGCGCAATTTTTGCGCATGAAACACAATGAGTTTTGCGCGATTTTGCGCAATTTTTACTACGCAAATTGCGCAAAACCGGAAATATTTTTTTGCGAATTTTTTCGTATGAAACTAAAATAGTTTTAAGCAATTTTTTTGCGCGATTTGCGCAAAACCGAAAATATTACGCAAACCGTAACTTTCAGAGCAAATTGACGAAATTTGAAATTTTATGCACAGAATTAAACAACGGAAGATTTATTCAACTATTACATACAAAAAAATGATTAACAAAAAAGTATGCTTAAACTACTCTCAATTGGTTACTTTATTTTAAAAAGTTTAAATTATTCAAATAGAAATTAAGAGACTGAGAAACTTGGCAATATTTAAATCCTATTAAATCAATTTCAAGTGACCCTAAATGCAAAGATGACAATTCACAACGGTACCCTTAAAAACATTGCCTGATCAAGTATGAATTTTATTCTTAAAGAAACTGAGTTTTTGTCACAAACTCTACTTTTCTAATCTTTATATCTTTGCTACCCAATGTCGTAGACCTTTTATATTTCAAACTAAGAATTCTGTTAGACCAAATAATCTAAGTTTGAAATATCAAGGGTTTACATCATCAGATTGTAAAGATATAGGGACTAGACAATTTTAGTTTGTGACAAAAACTCAGTTCCTTTCCGAAATCTTTTTAATCCCATATAAAATATGCAAGAAAGTAACCAATGCCTGAAGAATCAACTTTAAAGAAGTAGGCGTGGCCAAAGCTAAAACTGTCCAGACTTTTGGGTTGCCAGGTTTGAAAAGAAGGACAAGGCTAAATTGAGAATTCTTAACTTTTAGTCCTCTTTTACTTTTTGATGCTGGAATTTACAGTTTATTTCCCAAGTAATACTAATTTCAATACTAATTTGATGCATTTATTTTAATACTAATTTAATACCATAGATAAAGATAGATTGCGCATAAGACGACATTTTTCATCTTGAAAGATATAAATGTACAGAGATGTTTTAAAGATATTCCTATTATATAGATTAACTAGGTTGGTTGTGAACATTGACAGTTCTTATGTCATGAGTACTTACGGTGTACATGAGTTCTGTAGAGAGAAATTTAAGTTAGTATAGTCCTTCTCATGTCCTTCTTCAGTGAAATATTGTTGTTCAAATAGTTCCATTCCCGGAGTTATTTTACACTTGTTCTATGAAATCCATTAAAACACCAAATCACCCCGCTTATCATTGAATTACACTTTAACCCCTAGAAGTATGAGTTCGCGGACTGTACAATTCTTGGTGATTTTGCGTATACATAAGCTATCTGTGTTTATTTATTTATCTATGTTTAATACTAATATCACTTATATCACAAATTGAATGTACAACAAATAAAAATTGAACTTTTAAGTTTTTTATTTATATTAAAGAACCTTTTTTCATATTTAGTCTTTGCTATGGTTTAGAGATATTTGTTGATTATATATCGAGCTAGTAATGTTTGCGCAAAACGCCAAAAAAAAATTATAGTTTAATTTGCTGAATTTGCATATGATTGTAACAAAATTGCGGAATTGCGCAAAACTCGTGTTGCGAAAAAGCCGTAAAGGACAATTTTGCGCGAAATGACTTTTAAGAATGATTGCGCAAATTGCTGTTTTTTCGAGCAAAACTGATGCGCAACGAAAGAAAAATTTTGCGTTTCGTTCCGCAAAAATTGCGCAAAAGTTTTGCGAATGGAAACCCTATTCGCGAGCAACACAGATTGGCCGCTGCCAAAATTAATCATGGTTAGAAAATCCTGTCCTCTTCATTCATTCATAGCATGGTTAGAATCAAATTTAACCATGGTTAAAATGTCTTAAGTTTCGGCTTTAGGTGACGGAGGGGAGGAAGGGAAGCGACAACAATTTCTCTTCCGAGCCATATTCTCCTCATTTTCTCTTCCGAGCCACTTCGGAATCCTCGTCCTTCGATTATTTTGTGTTAAAAGTTTCCAATTCTCGAAGATAAAACTATTTTTTAAAAATCTGGCCACGTTAGGGCATAAAATATGGATGGACTAAAGTATTGCAATGATTGTTTATCATGTTGGAATCTTCAAACCCATGGAAAATGATGTTGAGCTTTATTTAGGTAAAACTTAAATCTCAATTCTGCCTCCGTAATAGCCTACCTTCGTGATATAAAATAAATAGCAAAATATTCGGCATACCTCTGCCTATAATTTTCCCCATGAAACCACCCGGAAAAATTCTATGGTTTTCACTATAGTTAACAAAAAAGATTTAAGTTCTATAAACTCGGAATTATTTGCGGAATATCTGAAAATGCGCGTAAAAAAGTTTTACATTTTTAAAGTCATTAAACTTGAAAACTTTAATTTAATTGAAACTTTTTTTATGAATTACAAAAATTCGATATTTCATTTATGCTCTAACGTGGGCCAACTCTTTAAAAATAGTTTTATCTAGGAGGATTAGACACTTAAAAAAAATTATATTGAAAGGATGAGTATTTCTAGGTGGCTCGGACAAGAAATAGTTGTGATTGGCCTTACTCCCCTCGTTGACAAGGACATATAATAAAATAAAACATACAAAAATCAAGGGCGATTTACAATAATGTCTGTGAGTGTGAAAATTTAGTTACGTTCCTTCCCCCCCNCTAATCTTAGCTTAACACTCAAAAATGAAGGGCTCTCTTCTTGGACCCCCCCCCCCTCTTCTGAAGTAGATGATTTACAAGATAATGTAAATTCAACTTTCAGAAAATTGGTTTCAATCAACAAAGCTGTTTGTATGGTTCTAAAAAAATATTAAACAAATTGAAAACACTGTAGTGTAGGTGAAGGTTGACCAATATTGGAATTAAGCCAACCGTCCAACAGGTGTTGCTGCGTATTCAAAAATATTACCATCAAAAAGAATGTTCAAAATTGTCCCTACGGTTGCAAATTGACGATTTAATTTCGGAGAAATTAACGTGAGGCCCAAATTTCGCGTTTTATATAATTTTCTTGGAATTTCATGCTAAATTCAAATCAGAATATTTCTTTAGAAAATATTAAAAATTAAAGAAGTTAAAGCGAAATAAGGGTAAAATATTTTTTTGGGGCCCTACGGAGATTTCTCAGATATCCAATCGTCTATATGTATGGACGATTTTAAATTTTTTTAATTTTTTTATTGCAATATTTTTATTAAGAAAAAAACACAGCAACCTCTGGTGGGCTGTCAGCTAATGTCTAAAAAAGTCAAAAATCAATCACCCTTATACTGCAACTGTAGTTTTCCTTTTAAGTGAAAAGACGAAAAAACCTAGTTTAACATAATTTTATTACTAATATTATCATTTTAAATACACAAAATCTCAGCGATACATAACAATTCATGTTAAAAAAAATATACATAAAATAGGACAAATTAGTGAAAAATTTTGTATCAAAATAAACCTTTGAAAGGATTAACAAAATGTCTAAACTTTAAACTAAAAAAAGGAATTCATGCCTGATGCAATCTACAAGTTTGATGAGAAAAAGTTTTTAGGATAAATGATCAAACTTAGTTTAAAACGATATTTTAAATACTGGATGTGACAAAACGGGATAAATAAATGTTAAATTACCCTGAACCTAAAGTTTAAGTAACTGAGCTTATGACCATTTTCAACAACTTTACTTAAGCTGGAAAACTGAACTGAACAGTGCCTGTGGAGTTAGCTTGAGGTTTAGAATAAATCCTTTTACATGTCCAAATTTCAAATTAAGCACTGAACTATTAATTCTAGGCCAGGGAGGGTTAAAATAAAAACTGTACATTGTACAGTGTACAACGATAAAACAGAAAAATTGCTGTAATCTTTCTAGCCGTAGATCTTTATTTAACATAATCTTAAAAACAAGGGCGCTATCACAAACTCTACGGATTAAATAAATTATTGCAAATTTAAAGGGGGCAGTCCCCCCTTGGAAATAACAGAATTTATTAATGTAACTGGATGACGACTGACTAGTAGCTTTACATGAATTATTAAACTCAATATGGCGGTTATATCGTACAGTACAAACAAGATGGCCGCTTTTGGCGCCAAAAAACATAATTATAAAATGCAACGGAGTACCAATACAGGTTATATTCTACCTCCCAAAATAAAGTAGAATAACGAACGAATTCAACCAATAAGAGAACGTTCGTATGAAAGCTTTCTATAATCAATTCAATGAATAAAGATTTAAATTTTAAAAGCTGGAAACGTTTCAGTGGGATCAACACAACTGCGGAGTAAGACGACAATTTAGCAATCTTATTTGGGCTTGATCTTGTTCTAAAGATAATCGTTTTACCATTAGATTAAAAATAAACTTATGAAATTAAAAGTCGTCTTCATATTCCACAGTTTTTTTGATACACCCTGTATGTTTCTAGTGGCGGGGGTCTGAACAAAAATGTTATGTTTAACTTTGTATAAGTAAGATTCGTCAGTAATGTAAATAATAATACCATGAGGTGACAATATGGAGCAATATTGATGTGTGATTTCAAGGTACTATGAATTAAACATTATTAATGGGATTGTTCACAAATTTGACAAAAGGGAGAGAGTCAAATATTTGAAAAAAGGGTGTGAAAAGTTTGATTGAACAAACAAAATATCAAATTTCAATTCTTAAATTAATTAAGACCTCAGATATAAAAATTGTACAGTCCAGTCCATATTAAAGGTCTAGGAGAATTTATTGAAAAATGTATTATGCGTGTTCATTCTAATATTCGAACAATCTCTTTAAATCAACGTGTTGTAATTTTATAGGATTAGTTTAGGTAAACCTTTAAAAAGGGTTTAACAGTTTGGACGAATTTTAGCGAATGATCACTATACTAAATTTGATTTTTCGGCTAACTCTACAAATTGGAAGTTTATAAAAAGTGTTCATTTGAGAAGAAATGTTTAAGAGTCTGGAATTTAAACTGCTAAACTTTTTCAAAGATATTTAAATCTAAACTTAAGTTCAGACTCTGTATATTTAGGAAACTTAGGCAAAAAACTTCGGTTCATCATAAACTTTCAGTCAGAATTCGTCTATTGATCATCAGAACTGAACTAAAGAGATGTCCAGTTAGATCTCAGCTAAAAACGTTATAATTAGGAAAAGTTAGTATTTAGCTTGATCTTATTCTTTACTGACAATTGAGACTAAATTTAATTTCAATATTTTGAATTTTAAGCAAGTTAAATTAAGAAGTCGGCTCTGAAACCCGAAGCTAAGCTTTTAGCTTTAGGTAGTTAAGAGTATATCTTGGAGTCTGAACTTAAGTCCGGATTAAAGTTCAAACTGGAATCTGAGAAGGACTGTGATCTGTGATTTTCCATGGATTAACTTGGTGTAGGTTCGGAGTAGGTTTGGAGGAGGTTTGGAGTAGGTTTGGAGTAGGTTTAAAGTAGGTTATAGTAGATTTGTGATCTGTAAACTCATTCTGACTCTAGGATTCATTTTAAGCCGAACTAAAAATAAAGAAAATATCAAAAAACAAAAATCTATTTGACACTCTAATCTAATAAGTTTCTTTATGTACTTTTTTTATTTTTTTTTTATTTCTTCTTTTCTCTTTTTTATTTTTTTTATTTTATTGTAATCATTTCAATTTATACAAAGTCGTCTGATTAATTGTAAAATTTATTCCGGGTCTTTCTGATTACGTCTGTAGTTTTTATTCTTTTCTTTTTTCTCTCTCTCTCTCCCTAAACTAAATTTAAATGAATATTTACTCGAATAATTAGTATTTGACAATCTTCGCTATTTTACGCGTTTCAATTAAAAATTTAGGAATCTATCAATTATCTTTTAATTAATTGAAGTACAAAAACAGATTTAACGTACTCAAAACTTCATAACCATCATTTGAGAAACTAAGTATTAAGATTTGTCGTTTATTTTTCTAAAACAGAGATAAAATCTAAATTATTTTTTTGCTTGTTTGTCTAGAAATCTATTAGTAGCTCTGAAAGAAAGCGGAAAGCGTCAATTAAAAAAACAAACTTTGATGCTTAAATACTTTATGTACTTTTTCTGCTTTAAAAAAATTGTCCACCAAATATTTGACTAACCTTATCTTCTATTTACTTCCTCGTCCTTGCACCCCTGTGCTCCATGAACGCTGACGGATTGCAATAATCTGCCTGGATTCAAGGAAATTGATATTCAGGGGAGATTCATTTCTCAAAACTCATCTTATCTTTTCTATTTATCTGTCTATTTGATTGTAACCGGTAAGCGTTAAAACGGCTGAATCGAACGGCCCAAATTTTGTGTGAGACCTCACATAACCACCAGGGAAGGTTTACGGAACATCAAAATTGGAAAAAATTGACGTATGACCAACTTTCAGAGCAACAGTTAAAATCTAAAACTTGTTATAGTAAGCGGGCGTGAAGCGCCCTAAAAGCCTAGTATGCTAAATATCCTCCCCACCTCCTCCTTAAAAAAAGAATATTTAAAGAAACAATTTTATGACTTTAATTGGGCCAATTAAGATAAATTAGAGTTTTAGGAAAAAATATTAAAAGAAAGCAACCGCAGAAGTTAAAACCCAATAAATATAAGGGAGGAAAATTATAAAAAAACAATTTTGTTATTAATTTTCCCCTAAAAATCATTCATTCCTCCAATTCAGCGAAGAAACCCGTACAAATTCGCGCAAAAATACCTAACTTGAAACTTCTGGGAAACAAACGATGTTCAAGGCAAGGAAAATGATTTTTCATAAAATGGTTAAACAAATTGATTTTTTCTCAAGAACATCTATGAGACAAAGAGGGGGGGAGGGGGTATATGATCCGACTGAAATAAGAATTTCTTTCCTTTAGATATCTCGTAGTCCACAACCTCCTTGTAGATAAGGTCCTTCCACTGATCCACCGTCAGATCCCGCTCATCTACACAATGGTCCCAGGCTCCTAGGATAACGGTGATTGTCGTCATGTTTCTTCTTATAGGAATAATGTAGAATTGTTTCTCCTTTACCAAATGTAATAAATTATTTAATAAATCGTTATTTGAGTAAATAACCGTCAGACTCCGCGCATTTACACATAGGCCAAGGCAACTAGGGTAATAGTGATCGTCAGTTTGGTTCTACTATATTAAAGAAGTTATATATTATTTACCAAGAATGTAAAAATCTAGAAATTTTAATTGCACGATTTGGAATCTGACCTTTTAACCTTTAAACTAAAGAAAAAAATGATTGATTGATTGATTGTTTAATTGGTATATAGATTAATCGATTTATACCTGGAGGAGGGGCATTTACTTCACTCTCATCATACCAGACATTTATATATGGATGCATCAGAGCTTCATCGACATTTATCCTAGAATACCAGACATTTATCCTAAAATACCAGACATTTATATATGGGTGCATCAGCGCTTCATCGACATTTATCCTAAAATACCGCACATTTATATATGGGTGCATCAGCGCTTCATCGACATTTATCCTAAAATACCAGACATTTATATATGGGTGCATCAGCGCTTTATCGACATTTATCCTAGAAAACCAGACATTTATATATGGGTGCATCAAAGCTTCATCGACATTTATCCTAGAATACCAGACAGTTCTAAATGGGTGCATCAAAGCTTCATCGACATTTATCCTAGAATACCAGACATTTATATATGAGGGCATCAGAACTTCATCGACATTCATCCAAGAATACCATACAGTTATATATGGGTGCATCAAAGCTTCATCAACATTTATTCTAGAATACCAGACATTTATATATGAGTGCATCAGAGCTTCATCGACATTTATCCTAGAATACCAGACATTTATATATGGGTGCATCAGAGCTTCATCGACATTTATCCTAGAATACCAGACATTCATATATGGGTGCATCAACGATTCATCAACATTTACCCTAGAATACCAGACATTTATATATGGGTGCATCCAAGCTTCATTGACATTTATCCTAGAATACCAGACATTTATATTCAAATGGATCAGAGCTGGAGCCGGAAGGGGAAAAATTGCACGCCTACTAGCATTTGAAACTTCTTGTTCAACAATTCATTTAATTTTTCTTTTCTGGTTTACCTGTCTTGAAAGTGATTTCGATGAAAATCCTACTTAGCAGTGTCAAATATTTTCCAGGGGTTTTATTGCTAAAATTGGGGAAATAATTGCATTTTTGGGTTGTAAGTTTTAAAATGAAAGAGAAAGCCTGAAAGAATATCTTCAAAAATCATCTTTCTCCTTGGGCCAGCGGCGGGTGGGGGGAGGGCTAATAATCTCATCTATTCTTGGATCCTGTGTATCCTCACCTTTTCTCTGGATCAATAACCAGCATCTTGCAGAGCAAATCTCGGGCTTGACTGGCTCTCAACCTAATCTCAAACCATTCATAGTTTACAAATCATGAATATAAGCTGGGGGGGGGGGGTGGAAGGGGAAGATAATTAAGCATTAAAAAAATTGTATTCATCCACTCCTTCCTATATTCGTGAAATTTAATCTAATATCGATTCAAACTAATCCTTATTTTTGGATTAAGATTAACGGTTTTGCGTCAATTTCTCTTTCAATTTCGTTAACGCAAAAATATTTTTTTTAAAGTTTGGAATTATTCTATAGAGAATTTTTTTTGAAGAATTACAAGGGGTTTGTTTTAAGGAAATATTCACATCCCCAATACCTCCCCCACCCCTCCCTACTGAAACCCTGTAAATTATACAAATGAGGTCCCACAAACATGGTAGTTGAGAGACTACTTAAAGCTCTTTTTTAAATTATACATATGAGGTACACCACATTATAAAAGGCTTTAAATTAAGATATCTTTCAAAATTGTTAATATATTATTATAAATGGATTGCTTTCAAGGATTAAAAAATCTCATGTTTATGTGAGACTACCCGGGCATATTTTGGCCTATGCAGACTTAAGTTTAGTTTAGGATAAACCTAAAGCTGGAATTTTTTAAAGGAATAGACCTGATTTAAATCGATTTACATGAGCTACATAAAAACATTCTCTTCTGGTGGGGTGGTTATCCGAACTCAGGTGACCAAAACTTTTAACATTTAACCAACTGGGCTTTTAGGGCGCATCGCGCCCATGTTCTATACTAGTTGTTAACATTTCTCTTTGTAAACATTGAAAAACAATAAAAAATTTATAAAAAAAAAATCGTGAATTTTCTAAATTTAATGAAAATGATATTTTGATGGAGGCTAATTTTTGAAATTTTAATCTTCCATAAAGCTGCCCTTGGGTCAGTGTGGTTCAAACAAAATCTGGGCCAGATCGGTTCAGCCGTTTTCACGTTTATTGGATACAAACAAACCGGCAGAGAAGTAAAGTATATATTAGAAGAAATTAAAACACGTTATTAAACAATGAAACTCATTCATGAGTGTTGACACTCAAATTATAGAATATACAATGAAAAAAGAAATGAAAGGCAAAGGAAGAGAATAAATCTGATGAAAAGAGCAGAATTCATGAATTATTAATCAGGGATGCATTTCATTCCTTGACTTTCAACATTGAGAGAAAGGTTGGCAGGGAATTTGCATTTTAAACATTAAAATATTATAATCCAATTTGGTTGTAGACAACAGAATCTGTAAACAATACCATTGTTTGTTTATGATAATTAATAAATATTTTCAGCTTTTAGAGAAAATTTTGCGATTTTTGAATTTTACTTTCACGCATTGAAATTAGGGTCTCCACGTTTAATTTCAAATAAATGCTGGTGAAGAACGAAAAAATAAGATTACTCTGCCAATCTAATTCAAACTTAATCAAACTTTAAACAAACAATCAATGGAGTTGAGAATGAATGTAATTGTAAGAAAAATAGATGAATGTAAAAAATAAATTCTTGAAAGGGATGAAAATATGAATGAATAAATTCCTATTATGCTCTGAGGATTCAGCAGGGAAGAGAACGTCAGGGAAAAGTCTCTCAAAGGAGTAGCCTAGAGAACAAAATTATTAAACATTATATTTATAAGCAAAAAAAAAATAAACGGTATATATTTGCTTGAAAAATTCTTCACTGTAAAAAAAAACATAAAAAAAAAAAAAAAATAATTTTTTTTGAACAAATATTGCTAACATATATAAATACAAATATATTATTATGAACGAAGAGCTTTATTTTATACATTACACAAGTATAAAAATTAAAGGGTATATTTTTTCTGCAAAAATTTAACCCTTCCCCACATTTGGTTATTTTTTACTTTATTTGGTGAATTAGTCTCTAGACCCCAGTTAGGGGCTTATTAAGTTTCGTTCATAAAGTATTCATATTTGGGATTATTATGTCCAACATGAAGAATTTTGCATTTAGCATTATTAAATGACATTCTTAGAAAAAAAAAGTTAAATATGATGCAATGTCATGTTACACAGGATTATGTCAATTTAAATTATGTCACGATAATTCATGTCTTGTTACATCATAAAATTTATGTCACGTCAAATCATATTATGTTACGTTATTACATGTCATGTTAAGTAATGTAATAAGAAATCATGTCACTTTAAATCACTAATTGGTAAAGAGATTAGACCACTTTGAAAAAAAAAACAATTGATGGAACTCAATAATTATTTTGATATATTAGTTATAATCATCAAATTAAATTTAAATCATGTCAATTCAAACCATGTCAATTCAAACCATGTCATGTTAAGTATTAGTAATGTTATGTTATTTCTTGTTACGTCACGCAAAGTAACATTAAATCATGTCACGTTAAGTATTGGTAATGTTATTTCTTGTCATGTTAAATCATGTCACGTTAAGTATTAGTAATGTTATTTCTTGTCACGTTAAATCATGTCACGTTAAAGTCTTCACCTGCGTATCTTGGACGATTTTCGACGTAGTTTCTCACTGTTGCCTGTAAATATAATCTTAACAGATTTTCTTTTCTTTTTTAGTTTTAATTTTAAGATCTTTAAAACCTAAAACTTTAGAGCTTCCGTTTTAATATCCAACAAATTAATATTTTCATTTCAAATTTTTTAATTTCTTGGCTGCTTTATTAAGGGTAGAATGATTCGAGGGTTTTAGACGTACTATTCGAATTTAATTATTTTTAAATTTAATTGAACAAATAAATAAATTAACAATTCAAAATGCTCTCGGGCACTAACACTATCTATAATCTAGTAAACCTAAAACACAGCAATAATAAAAAGTTCACAAGCAAAGTACCATTTTTTTTTTAAATGTTGATTTTCAAGCTACTGATGGAGCAATTTACTTAATATAAATTAAAAATAATGAATTTATATGAGATATTGCTTATGTCGTCTTCGTATTACACAGACGAGTCTAACTGTATACATAATTCAACTTCCTTGGTTAAATTTAATTTTAATGGTTTAGGGAAGGTTTTGGAGAAGAATGTGTTAAACCCTTAAAGACCAATAAGGGTGGAACTGGCAGGGTTAGGTGAAGGTTTTCAAATTTTTTTTTTTACATTTATTTTTCTTTTTTTTATGGCCCCTTGTAATCATATACCTTTAATTAACGTCATGAATTGAGGATGTTTTTGTTAAATTTTATTATATATATAATTTTTTTTGAATACGATTAAAACGCGATCTTTATAACACGCTTGTTTCTGGATCGTTTTTGGTTCGTTCTTGGTTCGTTTATAGTCTAAAGTTTTCTATCAGTGTCAAAATTTGACATAATCTAAGAAAAACACCTGTTTACAATAAACTATATTAAAACCAATTGCCATTCTCACACTATGCCAAATTTAGGCAAAAACGAAATGACGGAATGGAATTTTAACCCTGAAAGAAAATATAGGCAAAAACGATCCAAGAACGAAATAACGGAATAGAAATATAGGCAAAAACGTTCCAAAAACAAAATAACGGAATAGAAATATAGGCAAAAACAATCCAAGAACGAAATAACGGAATAGAAATATAGGCAAAAACGTTCCAAAAACGAAATAACGGAATAGAAATATAGGCAAAAACAATCCAAGAACGAAATAACGGAATAGAAATATAGGTAAAAACGATCCAAAAACGAAATAACGAAATAGAAATATAGGTAAAAACGTTCCAAAAACGAAGGAATAGAAATATAGGCAAAAACAATCCAAGAACGAAATAACGGAATAGAAATATAGGTAAAAACGATCCAAGAACGAACAGAATGCACAATTCACATCACTACCTGTAATCGCCTCATAAAATCTTGACTGGGTGTTCCTAACTGTTCAATGATCTTGTTCCATTGATCTAAAAAAATAATTTAAATAAAAAACACTTTAACACGATGATATATATTCTCTCCCTTATTTGAAAAATTATTCCAAAGTATATGTCGGTCTTTCTTCACCAATATTAGTTTTTGATAAAAATTGTATAAAAAACTATAAATAAAATAAAAATATTGTTAATAAATATGATCAAGTAAAATTAAACCTTAAACTAATTTTTGCGAGGGGGAGAGTGTGTTTTTATACGTATATTTGTGTATTCCGTGTATTCTGTGTATTCTGTGTATTCTGTGTATTCTGTGTATTCTGTGTATTCTGTGTATTCTGTGTATTCTGTGAATTCTGCATATTCTGTATATTCTGTATATTCTGTATATTCTGTATATTCTGTATATTCTGTATATTCTGTATATTCTGTATATTCTGTATATTCTGTATATTCTGTATATTCTGTATATTCTGTATATTCTGTATATTCTGTATATTCTGTATATTCTGTATATTCTGTATATTCTGTATATTNCTGTATCTGTATCTGTATCTGTATCTGTATCTGTATCTGTATCTGTATCTGTATCTGTATCTGTATCTGTATCTGTATCTGTATCTGTATTCTATGATTTTGTAAGATAATTGTGTCTGTGTTAGACACCGAGTTCTCTAATGATATTGATTATCCTTTTCCCTCCCAAATACACTTATAGGGATGGAAATCGTCATCTAGTAAGTTTATAAAAGCATTTATTTTATTTTAAAGACTTCACCACGAAAATGTGATATTTTAGCGTTTACTATATCTAAAAATTGTATACTTGCTTTACATGGTGCAAATTGCTTACCCATTCAAGATATATTAACAATAACAAATTAAATCATAAGATTTTTTAAAAAGATTAATTTAGAAGAATTTTTTTTTCGTATTAGCATTTTTTTAATCATAGCAAAAATGTTCACTTATTTAGCGTACAATAAAAAATATATAGATATTAATGCATCTCTCTTATAAGTAAAGACAAACCTTGAATAAAAAAACGATAGCCAACGTTACTCATATCCATAAAGAGACTGTGCGCGTACTTTCAAGAGACCCTCCGGTACTCATGACTCTTGAAAGCTTCTTCAAACACTTTATTTCTTCCACATTTTTTGTACCGTTGTGAATCGGGCATTGTCATCGTTGCATTGAGGGTAACTTAAATTACGCTTACAATTATTTAAACAAAATATTCATACAGACGATAAAATATATCGTTTTGCGGATTACACGATAAAATATATCTTTTTGAGGATTAGTAAGAGGCACCGGATTTAATGGACTCGAATTAGACAAGTAGAAATGGGTTTAACAATCATTAAAATATTATTTTGCAAGATATTATTTGTATTGCGTTATAAATGATGACGCTGCGGTCCAAAAGAAATCTAAGTATTCTATATTTTCTGTAGAACGATTTATCTTCATTGGACATCTATGCTTTAAGCTGTATTCACATAGATTCAGCCTCCTTATAAACAGTCTCATCAATTTTTAGACAGGGCTGACTTTGAAGTGTCGCAACGCCCTAAGCTTAGATTTTACCGCTCTAACTCACTTATGCTTTTCTGTAGCCCTTTACATGTACTTTTAGCACTGTAAAGCACTTCTTGTTAGATTTGGTTTTTTAGAAGTTATTGGCAAAATTCTCAACGATTTTTGCTTGAGAGCGTGAGACCATTAAATCGCAGTGTATTAGGAGTATAAATACATCTTTCAAGTGACCCTTTAGTAAAGAGGGTTATTTTCGATACACAAAGATACCCATTCAACCTCTATCTGCATTTAAAAATAATAATTTTTTAGCTGCAAAAAAAGGACTATATCATTCTTGGTTAGTGAATTTATGAATCGGGCGACGTGCATGCCACTCTCTAAATAGACTTAAATCACTTATTCATTTTTCAGGGGTATACTTTTTTAATAATATCCCCCCCCCATCTTTACACTTGACAACTCAACAGTCCAAGAATGAGACCTGATTAAATCAAGAAAGGAGGATTTTGGCAAACGTTTCATTTAGCTCCCTATTTCTGATTTTATCAATATTATTATAATTATAAAGATGTATTCAAACACAAAGGTATAAATACATATATAAATGGTGTAGTTTAAATTTGTTTAAATAAATTTTTGAAAATACAGGTTTCTAAAAGAAAAGAAAAATATGCAAAATTATGCACAAATAGACAACATTGATTTTTACTCATTACGTAACATATTTATCATTTCAATTATTACGTGATTATCGAATCCTTCCGACATATAAATTATTCATTCTTGTATTTAAAAGTTCTTGTAAAACCGGAACTTTCCATTCATGTTCCAATGAGACATCAAAATATTTCATTTGTTTCTTAACTAACATTTTACTAAGATCAGAAGGATTTTACAGAACAATCATTTGCAATACAAAATAAATTTCTGCCAAGAACTGTGTTAAGGTCATTTTTACATAAATTAGAATGAAATCTTATGTAAAGCTTAAAACTTGCTTCAATAGTCTCATAGAAAGACACACATCTGCTAGCTAACATAATTATTATAATTATTAAAGGACAACCCGTCGTTCAATGACGTTAGAGCCGGCGCTCCCACCTGCAAATTACAATGCTTGACGGAGCTCATGACGTAATTTTAAGGAGTGGCATGTTTAATTCACATTGGTATCCTTAAACATGTATCTGAGATTCAAACTTGAAAATTGTTAAATCTAAATATATAATAAAACAAGACATTCCTATATATATATGTTGCCTATAGCCGGCCAAACGGCTGGACCGATTGGGCTGAAATTTTTTGTGGACACTCATGGGTGGCCGGGGGGTGTTATAGGCTAATTTTTTTTAAATATTATTTTTTAAACATTTTTTCTAATTTATTTTCCACGGCCAACGCCGGGCCCTTCAGCTAGTTAATTATAAAAAAATTCTAAAATATTACTACTGCATAACTTCAAGAGCCCACAATTGGATATAATGAATATTCAGGGATGGAAAAACTGTGTTTGAAGGGCAACTATGTAAATTAAACATGCCACTCGAGGCTCAGCTAGGTTTACAATCCTTGATGGATTATTCTTTTTATTCTCTTTAGAGTATATTAGGCTTCCCTTGGGATGTTTCACAGATTTCCACTAAACCAACCAACCAACCAACCAACCAACCAACCAACCAACCAACCAACCAACCAACCAACCAACCAACCTGCCAACAAACCCACCAAGCAAACAACTAACCAACGAACCAAACAACCAAATATACACCAAATCATGAAAACATAAAAATGCATTACAGGATGAATGTATGAATGAATTTAAACCTATCCCATAATATTATCAGGATGAATGTTATGACAAACGAATGAATGACTGAATAAAAGACTAACCTATATGATCTGTGCCAGGGAATAAGACCCCACCTCTAATCATTTCCCCCATAATACATCCAACAGACCAGATATCCACGTTCTCTTTATATCCCATACCTAGATGTCGAAGTCATTTCATTTGCTCCTCTAATTTCAGAAGGACAAAAAATGAACATGTTTCTTTCTTTTTTTAAATAAATTATGATTTCAAATTATACACTATCATTTCTCTAAAAACAACAAATGGTTTTTACAATTTACTCTGGAAATCCCATTAGATTGAAGGAAAACTGGAAAAATGATTTAGATTCAAAGAGAATAGAATATATATATTAGAGGGGAATTTACTAGAAAAAAGTGTAAAACGGCCATTTTGTTGTAATGTTTCCATACTGCAGGTGTACTTCACATATTTATGCTATATAACCTTTGGGCCCTGGAATATCATTTTATAGAAAATCTAAAATTAATGTTAAAAGAAAACCAAATTATGAAATAGGCTGGTTTTATAATTGACCAATGATCATTTCACATAGACTCTATGCCTTTCACTTTACAAACGATTATTTTATAACTATAAATTAAATGATGTTTTTTATTTACCTAATTCATTATAAAGTTTATTTAAAAGCTTTAAAAAATTCGAAATTGAAATGAGTACTCTACTGCATATAATTTGTGAATATTTACATGATTTGTACACTTTGAACTCCCTTTCAGGCTGAAAGGGACTGAAAAAATTCATACCGAGAGATTCTCTAAATTCTCCTCAAATGTATATTCTATTCTCTTTGTTTAGATTCCAACTATAAAATATTAGTCTTATAAATCTGTAATATTAAAAGATGAGAAATACCGAAAATAGAAAAGAACCTCCCCCTGTTAATTTTTTTTGTTAATTAAACGATCTTGGTATATTCTTTTATTTCTTACTGGGGGTAGGGAAGAGGGGACGAATTTGGTCATCAATTCTCATATGCACTTTACCCCTTTTTTTTTTAATAATTTTAAACATAAATTCGATATATTTTCCCCCTAATTCTGCAATAAAACCATTTTTCCTTTTCTTTTCTTTTTAACAATTCAGAAGTTAGGCTATAAACTAACCAAGATTAGGATACGTTAGGTCGTGAACATATACCCCTGACTAAACTTTTATAAACTGACCTAAAATGACCTCTGGAGCCCTGTAGTACCGTGTCACAACGTAGGGGGTCATCATGAACGAGGTTCCAGCTGGAGCAAGAGTAGAGAATACAGAATAAAAATATATATCATTTAAATACATCAAATTGTTTCGATTTTCTCCTTTCAAAATTCCATGCTTTCAATCTTTTCTGAGAATAGCCCCCCCCCCCTCCCCAGCCACACAGCATACACATAAAATTCCATTTTACCAATTTCTTCTTTTATAAAATCTAAAAATCAAATTGGCTATTTTTTAATTTTGCAGCATCACTACATTTTTAGTATTCATTTAGAAAACATAAACGTTTTTAATATAACGCTTTAAAAAAGATCCAGTCTTAGCAATGTTAATTAATTTTTATTTTCATTAATTCTGCTTCTTCGTCTTTTTTTCCCCCTTATATTTTAACTAATTTTTGTGAAAGAAAATTTAACCTTCTCTAAAAATTGTAATCATTCCAATTTCCATGTTGTTTTATACTATGCAATTCATATATTTATCTATATACTATTAGCAAAGAATTACCATGTAGAAGTGCCAATTTTACCGGAAAGGAATTGAGTGTTTGTCACAAACTCTGATTTTCTTATCCCTATATCTTTGCATTTCAATGTCAGAGACCTTAGCTATATCAAACTATGAATTGTTTTAGATCAAATAATAATAGTTAGAGATTTCAAAGGTTAACACCATCAGGTTACAACGATAAAGCGATTTGAAAATCAGAATTTGTGGCTAAAGCTCAGTTCCTTTACATTTTCAAATGTTCTTGAGAAAATCATCAAAAAAGTCAAGAACACGCGAGGAAAAGTAAAGTGCTGTTCTCCCGGAGGAAATTTCAGCTAAAAGTAGTTTTATCCCATTCTTTAGGCAACATTATTAACTGATGTATATTAAATTGTGTTGTTAATATTATTAATATGTCAAATATTAAAAAAGGTTTTTATGTTTGTAAATGTAAAAGCTACAATCATCTTGTAAATGCACGATTTTTTCTCCATTTTGCAATTCATCCCTTTCTCTCCCAAGGGCGAACATAATATTTTTACTCTGTTCCTTGGAAAAAAAAGTTTAAGAGTAGGGATGAACAAGGTGATAATGTTGCTAAGAATGAGATTTTAAATTTTCTATTTCATTTGTCATAAATACTTTGATGAATTGTTAATACTGATATTTCGTGTCAGTTTGTGCAAAATAAAAAAAAATATTACCAATTGTCATCAATGATCAAAAATCAATATGTAAATCATTTTGTTTTATCTGTCAGTTTTTTTCCGACAAAACAAAAACGATCAGACCCAAATTTTTTGTCCCAGGGACGGTTCATTGCCGATTAGAAAAATCTGAAAAGGAAATGAGTTTTTGCAACCAAATGTCGTAGACCTTAGTTATATATTTCAAACTATGCATTCTGTTAGATCAAATAGTCAAAGTTTGAAATATCAAAGGATTACGCTTTTAGGTTGAAAAGATACAGAGGTTTATAAATTTGAGTTTGTGGAAAAGACTCAATTCCTTTCCTGAATTTTTATTTTTAACAGAAAAATCTGCGAATATTTTAGTTAAGAGATGTAATATTCAGAAAACTGGAATGCAAAATTTTAAAAATAGAAATAGGCTTAATATTTCGTTATTTTTATATTCCGTAGTGATCTCTACCCCGTCCTGCAGACCGAGCCAATCCAAAATCTAGAATCTTGAGAGTACAATCAGATCTCACAACAATATTACTGGGCTTCAGATCCCTAGATATTAATGTGATTGTGATATGAATGATTGTGAATGATAATGATAATATATAATAATATAATAATAATAATAATTTTAACCTATGAATGATTCCGGCTAAATGCAGATGTTTGATTCCACAGAGCATCTGATAGAGTAGATAGGACATTCTTTCATGATCTAGGTCCATGTTTATAACCTTGATAGATAGATAAATAAATAGATATTCAAATAGATGGACGGATAGATAGATGGGTAGATAGATAGATGGAAAGATAGATAGATTGGTAGATTGATAGATACAACGATACTTATATAGATACAAAAATATATTAAAGATAGATAAATTAATAGATGAATGATTTGGTTTACTATAATTGTTCAAGTTCGCATCACGTCGTCGTACAGAGAAAACACAAAGATAACTAAATTGGTAGATTTATAGATAAATAGATAGATAGATAGATGGAGTAAGATTTATAATAATAGAAGATAAGTAGGTAGATAGATTGATAAAATAGAGTGAAATGGATAGATAGATCGTAGAGTGGGATGGATAGATAAATAGAATTTAATAACTGAGTCTTTTCCAAATATAAACTCAAATTTTCTAATCCCTATGTAGTATATATTTTCAAAATGATGGCGTAAACCTTTGATGTTTTAAACTTTTATTATTTTATCTAACAACATTGATAGTTTGATATATCTAAGGCCAACAACATTGGGTTACAAAGATATATACAGGGATTAGGAAATCAGAGCTTGTAGCAAATACTTCAATTCTTAGCTAGCAAATTTTGTCTGTATGCGGAGATTTTTAACTCAGATAATTACCCCTAAAAATCAAATTTTCCACAATTTAAAAACAAATTTGCTAGAAATAAGTGTGTTTGAATTAAATGAAAACAATCCTTAAAAATAATTCCTCTAATTGAAAAATGTAGGTCTATATAATCAGATAATGTATTGATTGGAGTAAATTAGAGAGCTCTAGATAGAAAAAGGAAAATCACCTTTTTTCTAATTTACATAATGTGGTTTTGCTACATAAAGGTGTTATGATGGCAATTTCAAACAGGGGTGTAAGTTTTCCAGAATTACCCTCTCCCTCGAGGGGGATGTACAAAAATAATTTTTGATGATTTGGGGTAAAAAATAAAAAAATGTACATAGAAAGGTTACTTTTTCAATCTTTTTGATACTTTTTATCCAATAATTCATTTATTTTTAACTAATAATGAGTCCCCCCCCGCACCCCAATTTAGGGAATAAAACCTTAAGAAATAAAACTTCTGGGGGAAAAAATTATTTAAAAAGAAAATATTTTTTCGAGATCCCTAATTTCATATAATAACATAGATGTACATTGTACATACTACACTGTACAGCGTATAGTTAATCAAAATATATGCATTACTTAATTTTTAAAAGTTAAAATAAAATTCTTTCAAGGGGCACAAATTTTAAAAATGTCTGCGCGGAGCGAAAAAAAAACTGTTGAGAGTTTGTTTCGCTGAATTTGTGATATATTTCTAGATAAGTGTCCGACCCCCCCCCCCTTGAGAATTCTGTTGCGCCTGTCTACCTGGCACAAGTTTGCATCCATGAGCTCCATCACGATATAGAGATCGAGGAACTCCTCCAGGGATTTCTGGGGCGTAAAGCAGTTTAAGAGTCCGATAATATTCTTATGATTCACCAACTTCATCAATTTAAACTCACGATACGCGCGCTTAGCGTGCGTCACATTTTGGAATGGTCTACTCAGTTTTTTTATAGCAACGTTCTGCTGCATTACGGTATCATAGGCCGCGCACACGATTCCCTGTGCTCCGGAACCTATGGGTTTCAGGTTTTGATACCGTTTGAGAATTGTGAATCTCGTATCTCCGACCTCAATTGTATAAAAATGAGAATTGGATTTGCCAGACATTTTGAGCTTTGAGTCTTTCTCCTAGATTTTAGATATTTTCATCATTTTTCTTTTGAACTAAAGTACAATTTGATCGTTTAATCCACTTACTTTCGAATATTGGAATTTCTAAGAATACTTGAAATTTAGAAAATAATATTAGTATAAATTATAATATCTTCTACTTGATAGGATTTCGATATGAAGTACAACTTTTTTGACGTAAAGAAAATTGTTTGAAGAAATTCGTTTTTAAAATTATTTTTTTTTTCTCAATAAAATTTAGTCTTTGACACATTTTTCAAATTCATAAATCTTCACAACCTGGTGCCGTAAACCTTTGATATTTCAAAATTAGATTATTTAATCTGTAGAATTCATAGTTTGAAAAATCAAAGGCCTCCGAAATTGGGTTGCAAAGATTCAGGGATTAGCAAATCAGAGTTTGTGGCAATGGCTCAATTCCTTTCTGTTCTATGATTTATATTTGCAAAAAAAGGCTTTCTGCTTTCAATGTTTCGTGACAAAGCCAAATTGGTAAAGAAAACACCCAAAAATTAATTTTTTTACATGCTTTATATTTGTAAAAATGAAAAATTCCTTGTTCTGATAAATTGAATATATATAATATTATTAGATTTTCTTCTTTTTTAAACCATTTTTATTATCAAATAATCTGAAAATTAAAAATATATTATTTTACAACAATTTTATTTTCCTGTTTTGGATACCAGTTAAACCTTCTCCAGCGTAAAAACGCGCCGAGGAACCCCAATTAACAAAATATTTAAATTCCCCTTCCCCTCCCAACCTACACTTATCCATATCTACCTTTCACCTTCCCTACCTTCCCTACCCCAACCTTTCTAATTCCCTATTTTTTCCTTTTCTTGCCTTTCCCCTTCCAATCCCCACCTACACTTATCCATATCTACCTTTATCCTTTCCTGCCTTCCCTACCCCAACCTTTCAAATTCTCTATTCTTTCCTATTCTTGCGTTCCCCTTTTACTCCCTTCCTACACTTACTTACCTTCTTACCTTTTCCTTTCCCTAGCTATAGGTATAACCCACTCATCCAACCTAGAGGAGACTGACCTAAGATGTTCCTGATCAAATGTTTTCTAGACATCAAATTGTATTATATCTTTTACTAGGTTAGGTTAAATTAAAGTGGGAAGTAGAATGAAGAAAAAACGTGGTCGGTGATTTCCTAGTGAAAAATTTGTACACCCCCTCCCCTCCTCATAAGAAAATGTGCATGTTCAAAGTATGAATAGCGCCCGGCCCCTAGCCTGTCTTTATAGCCGCAGCGCTCGTTCCAGAAATGGTCAAAACCTAACAATACAAAGTTTTCAATGTACATTTTTTATGAGGCGGGGGGGAGGGGGGAGGGCGGGGTCTAGGATTAGGTCGACAAAGTCATATCGGGGAGTCGATTTAAATCTGGAAAAACACCAGGGAGTTAAAACTAATCGATCTTTAGGTTGGAATACCTTTAGATCGGATTCCTCTAGGTCAGCTTTTCCACTGCATCCTTCCCCTTTCTTTACCCTTACCCTTCCACACCTTTTCCCTTTCCATACCTTGGTATATTCCTAGAGAACGATTTTTGGACCCCCCCCCCCTCCTACCAATTTGGTACATGGGTCTGACAGGAAGTGTCTTAACTGAACCTAACCCGTGGCCGCAGCGCTCGGCCCCCTAGCCTGTCCTAGCCGCAGCGCTCGGCCCAGAAAGTGTCTTAACCTAACCTAACCCTAAATAACAAAAAAATAAATAATAATAAATTTGCTGACAAATAAATGGTCATGTACAAAATTGAAAGGAGGGGGGGGGGTCCAAAAATCGTTCTGTAGGACAGACCCCATACCTTTCCTTCTCCCTTGATAAAAAGGCGTGAATCTCTCATATTGAGGGCTACTTGAAATTAAGTTTATCAGCCCATTTATATATTCTTATATCGAACAGCATTTAATTAAAACATCCATCCCAAGAGTCAAACCGGCCATTTTTAATACAAATATGATTTTTGATTGAATAAACATTTCCAAAACTGTCCTGTAAACATAAGTATACTTGTAGCTAGTATGTTTTAAACGATTAGTGTTGACGACTGTTTCAGACATTTTTTCTAGCTTAGAGATTGCATAGATTAATAAAGATTGTGTAAAATCAAAATCTACATATTAATGCAGGATAGATCATTTTTTTGTAGAATAATCTAACAATTCACTAAATTTTTAATAAAACAACAAATTACTGGACAGAATTGAGCCCTCCCTGTGACTCTGATCAGAGCGGTATACCTGCCGGTATTCCAGCTCGACAGAGCGGAATAAACTGCCGAGATGTACAACATTATTTAGCAGCTAGAGATTTATTGATTTAGACTTTCTTTAGGACTTTCTACCATTCATGGCTTAGAAAGACACAGTGGGATAACAGGGTTATCAAAAACATTTTTAGATGTCGTTGTTTTTTGTCTTTTTGATGTCTTTTGGTCTGCATTGAGACAGGATGGCGTAATTTGTGCAGTTAAGAACTGCAGTTGAGTCACGGCGATATTCTGGAAGGTTTGAGAACTCTGAGAACATTTAGGAGAAATTGAATTTAAATCATTTTTTTTCAAATTTGAGTCATAAATTATTCATCGATCACCATGGGAAACGAATTCCTATGAGATTTCCGTGTTTTTCTGACCTAACGTTTTTCCGACCTAAAAAACACAATAATGTTATAGGTTCGAAACTGTACAAAACTGGCCGAATACTATATAAATTAATTAACTAAAGGCTATAACGTACAATTGCACTGAATTCACCTGTTCATAAACTAGTCATTGGTTCATTTGAACGTTAGTCCAAATGACCATTAGTCCAGCTACGAACGTTCAATCGATTAGTCCAATTGATATGACCGACTTCTCTCCGATTTTAATTGTCGTCTTAGTTAATTCCCAATACTGTTCATCTGACCTATAGCGGAAACTGACCTATGCGTTTTTCACACTAAGTTTTTTTTCCAAATTTATTAAATCCCGCGTCAGAACGCTGTCGTGCGTGCAAATGATCATTATAGTTCAATTTATTAGTCCAATTTTGATATGACACAGCATACAACTTCTCTCCGAATTTAAATGTCGTCTTAGTTTTCCCAATAAAATGTACAATACTCGCTGATCTGACCTAGAGGAAACTGACCTATGCGTTTTTTACACTAAGTTTTTTTTCCAAATGTATTAAATCCCGCGTCGGAACGGTGTCGTGCGCGGAGATCCCTACGCATGGATCGAGTCATTGTGTTTTGTGTCATCATAATTTTACAATTTTAGACATCAACACTAATGTTTTGAGTTTTGATTCTTGTCGATTTTTATTCAAGTATTTTGATTGGGTATAAAACACTTAATTTGAAAGAAAAACAGCATTTGCGAGGAAAAAATCATTTTTTACATTTTCCCTTTTCAATTATTAATTATAAAAGTATAATTTAAAGTTCCATAATGTATATTTGAAGAGTGAAAATGGCAATGCAAAAAAGTTTTTTCCCTTGCAAATTTATTTATTTATATGTAAATAAATTGCACGTTGTTATGGAAACCAATAATTTAAATGTTTTAAAAATGGTATTGATGTCTAACATTGTGCTGAAATGATTAAAATAAAACACATTATAGGAGGTATGATCGCCATGCAGGGTAGACTCTCCACGCATGACACCGGTGTATAGCTCATTATTGGCCACCTGCAGCAAATCCTTTTTTCCATGGGCAGTGGGTTTCCATTCGCAAAACTTTTGCACATTTTTGCGAAAGAAAGCGAAATTTTTGCTTTTGTTGCGCGAAAAATTAGCACTTTGCGCATTCATTCGCTAACTTCATTTTGCGCTTTTGCGTTATTCTGTTTTGCGCAATTTTGCGGAGCAAATTAGATCAGTAAACGGTTGAAAAAAAGGTGTAAACTGTATAAATTAGTTATCAGAGATTTCACTTTTTTGCATATAATTGTAATGCTGAAATAGGAAATGATTACCTAAAACTCTATTTTGCAAGCTAATTTGTGATGGCACACTGTGGGATTTTCATTTAAAAAACGATCATTTCGTTATAAAAAATTGAAAACGAAATGATCGTTTTTAAAAACAATTTTTTTCAAGTTTGCCATTTCGTTAACGATCGTTAACGACGACCCTTCATTAACGATCGATTTGTTAACAAAGAGAGGAGGATAGAGGAAACCACCCTGAAAGGGCATTGGAACTTATATATCATGAGCAGTTTTAAAGAAAACATCAAGAAGTTTTTTGGACTGTTTATTCTTATCTAATTTTTTGTAAATTTGTAAATATTTTAAATCTGGAATCTGTATAAAAATTCCACGAAAATAAGGTTGACATGGCCAAAGTTTAATTCCTCCTATTTTTGATTGCATTTCTTATTCTTAATAATAATAATAATAATAATTTCAGAAGACAAATAACAATACACTTAGTAATCATGTATGTATTTCATATCTAGTAATAGCTGTATAAATGAGAGTAAATATCATAAATATCATAATAATACATAATGGAGAGATTACAGATTACAGAATTAATTCATTTAATATTTGATATTTTACGTTTTCCGGTTTTGCAGGTTCTATTCCAGGCCTTTAAAAACCCTCCATTCGAAAATATACAATTAAAAAATGAAGAAAAAAAAATTCTAAAAAAAATGAAAATTTGTAATTTAATTCATTTTAGCATTAAAGGCATACCCCTGGTTTCCCTCAAAAAATGTCAGCCCGTTCGGTTCAGCCATTTGGCCGGCTATAGGGAACATACGAATGTATTGTTTTATTTTATAGATATGTTTTATATAGCCAACTTATAAAATGGTACTCTTTAAACTGTATTTGATAATCATTAAAACGTCTATTTTAATGAAAAGATCAATTCGGTTAATTTCCTTTTTACTTCTGCTTCTTAAATCCGCAAGTAACTTTTGTAAAGAACCCGAAATTAAGAGTTATTAACTGTAAGCCAGTTAATTGAATAAAACTATTTCAACCATTTTTGCTTACATAAGGTTCAGAGTACCTTATGTAATCGTCTACCGTTCCTTTTGAGATTAAGAATTGATTAAAAAACATTAAATTAGGAATGGGTTTAAATATCAAAACATTTTAACATAAAAATATTAAACTATTTAGTTGATACATATATCTTGGTAATAATTAATCCTCTTTGTTTGTGCTAACTCTGTAATACTAATTCTCTCTGTACATTCTCTGCACATAAGTTCAAAAGTTGGATGATCTGAACCAGTACAAATAGTGTTTACTCGTACCAGCCCGTCTAGGTTGCCTAGTATGTGGTTGACCCAGCCCGTTTTATGCAACAGGCGGGCGGAACTCTAGTGTCTGTATATTATTTATATAATGGGTGTAAAGTACTGAACACATGGAATTGATTTATCGTGGATTGTTCTGTAGATAGCTATTGTATTCTACATCTAACAAGGAGAGCCTGAAATGTAAATATCAAGTAAATGTATATTAATTCAAAGAAAATAAAAAAAATTGATGAAGTATTACAGTAAAACCTTTAATAACGAATACATCGAAAGAATTCATCAAATGTCTTATTCTTCACTTTCTGATAATGGAATGTTGCAGATATTTAGTTTTTTAATTAAATGATTATTTGGAACTCTTTAAAACTGTTCCCGCATATTCATGGCTATTTATCTATTTTTGCAAATACTGAAATTTACGTAATATACAGGGTGTCCCACGAAACATGACAGTTGGTGAATAGTTTAGAATGCCTTTTTCCATTATTTGTCAAGTTGTTTGATACCAAATATCAATACAAATATTATATGAGAGTCATATTATATATTAAAATTGATTTCAAAGTAAAATATAATTAAGCAAAAGATTTGTTTAACTAAAAATAACTATGTATTGAATGTCATGTTTTGTGGGACACCCTGTAGTATAAAACTCATTGAAAAATTGTCAAGACGACATTTGATAAATTCTTCCGATATATTCGTTATGTTGCTTTTCACTGTATCTAGAAAACTATCGAATAATTGGCATCTTTACTCGTAAAAATTCAAAACTTTTATTCGACTATTGCTAGTGCAGTTGAAGCAGCAAGCCAAATTTATCTTATTTTGTAATCTCTACATCTTTGCAACCCGATGTCGTAGATCTTATTTTTCGATCAAATTAGGAGTTCAGTTACATCAAGCAATCTAAGCTTAAAATATCAACGGTTTACACCATCAGATTGTGAAGATGTAGGGATTAGAACATTTTAGTTCGTGGCAAGAACTCAATTCTTTTTTTACATTTAAGAAGATTTGAAGTATAACATGCTCAATTTTCATTATTTAATGTTCAATGTTATATGGTTTAGCGTTAAAAAAGCTCTGCTAGCTATAACCCTTGTGTTAACAATAGATATGACAAATTTGTATATATTGTTGTTAGAAATAAATTGGTTTATTATTATTATTATTATTATTATTAATGTTTGCAGGGCATATTCTTATACATTAATTAATCAATTACAAATTACATGGTTATAACTGTCCCAATGTGTTTAGCCCGAGCGAATTAACATAAAATTGGAATTCGGAAATTCGGAAATTCGAAATGATAAATACCTCTGTTGAAGAATAGAGTGCTGAATTATAGTTCCATCCTTCCTTGAATAATCCACAGGGGAACCTGAAGGAATAAAGATTAAAAGAGATTTTTAAATTGATATAAAACTGTGTTAAAATTATACGAAAGTTCATATATGTAAAATTTAGAAAATCTTAAACTTAAATCACGTGACCAGAACTTTCACCAATGGCAGAACAGTATACTGGTCATTTGTCTCCGCCTGTATCACGTGACCACTTTACTGCACTGCCATTGGTGGAATTTCTGGTCAAGCAATACGGACGTATAAATAATATTATGAATTAAATCTATGAAAAATAGAAATAACAGATATAAAATTAGAATTGGAGTAAACCTAAGTTACAATTAGCTTTTTCTGGGATATCATCGTTTTCAGATTGGTTGCATATTTGCTCAATTTGATCTTTTTAAACAAAATTAAATAAACTACTTTTTTACAAAATTGTATATATATTAATTTTCGTATAAATTTGACAAATTTGTAAATCAATTTCTCGAGATAGGAACATGAGATATAACTTTCATGGGTCGCGATCGAGAGCTAAAGTGATTAGCTTTCAGCCTATACCCCCTTTCATTTTTCCTTTACAGTCCCTTTAAATACGTTTATACACTCACAGGAGTCCACGGTCCTTTTAAGCATAGCATTTTGGGCATTTATGAAAAACTAAATTGAAACATTTACCTCCGTCTTGCTCAATACATATCTTTGTATCATTCTCATCATCCTAAAGGATAAAATTTAAAATGAAAAATAAAACTAGGTTTTCGAAATGTTTTTTTTTTCACGGACTTTCTTTAAAAAATTAATAAAAATAAGCCATCAATTAGGGTGCCCCTCAAATATTACAATTTGATACTTTCTATTAACAAACTTTGTAGTTTTTCAAGTGTAATTTTTTAAACAAAAATCATAAAATACCCTTACGCAATGCCTCTCCATATTATGGTCTGCCTGTTCAGTGCTTTAAAAATTAACTCAGATTTAATTAAAGAGTTTCCTTGATGTCTAATTTTTATTTTAAATTTTTTAAATTTACACATTATGAAAGCTTGCAATCTTTTTTCCATTCATATATATATCAGTAATCATATAAAACAAATTCATACATATAAATCAAACCACCTTATCATTTGGTAAAATATGTTTTTATTGTGATTTTAACTTTTTTTCAAGTTTATAAACCCGAACGTACAAAAAAACATATTTTCTCGCAAAAAAAAAACTCCAGGCAGTTGCATAAATAGATGAAATAGTTAACCTCGACCTCCTCCTCGTCCCTGATCTCCTCCTCCTCCTCCTCTTCCTCCCCGTCCACCTGCTTTCTCAAGTACTTCTTATGCTTCATCCGCCTAAAGGATTACTTTAGATTCCTTCCTCCTTGTTTCTTATAAGCAAGAAATGAGCAGAGGCCCGAGAAACCAGCAATGATAAAGAAGAGAAAAGGTTAAATAATCAGAAAAATGGATTTCTGATTCAAACTTGATCGGAGAAAGCTTTTAAGGGTACTTTTGTGAATCGGGCATTGCCAACTATGCATTGAAACTACGCTTACATAACAACATCAGTTTACTAAATGTTTCAAACAAAAAAACTAACGGTAACTTTTAAAAATACTGTTAACAAAACAAACGCTTCTTTCTTAAATACTGAACTGCTACCTGATTTTTTTAACCGTAAACGAAGAGCTAGAAAAAGGTGAGAACTTGCCCAGCCTTAGACCTTCACCTGTTCCAAGCCCTAAACCTTTACCGGTTCCAAGCCCTAAACCTTTACCTGTTCCAAGCCCTAAACCTTCACCTGTTCCCAGCGCGCACTAGACCTTTACCTGTTACCAGCCCTAGACCTTCACCTGTTCCCAGTCCTAGACCTTTACCTGTTCCCAGCCCTAGACCTTAACCTGTTCCCAGTCCTAGACCTTTACCTGTTCCCAGCCCTAGACCTTTACCTCTTACTAGCATTACACCTTTACCTGTTCCCAGCCCTAGGTCTTTACCTGTTCCCAGTCCTAGACCTTTACCTCTTCCAAGCCCTAGACCTTGAACATTTCCCAGCCCTAGACCTTTACCTGTTCCCAGTCCTAGACCTTTACCTGTTCCCAGCCCTAGACCTTTACCTGTTCCCAGCCCTAGACCTTCACCTGTTCCCAGCCCTAGACCTTCACCTGTTCCCAGCCCTAGACCTTTACCAGCCCTAGACCTTTACCTGTTACCAGCCCTAGACCTTCACCTGTTCCCAGCCCTAGACCTTTACCTGTTCCCAGCCCTAGACCTTTACCTGTTCCCAGCCCTAGACCTTTACCTGTTCCCTGTCCTAAACCTTTACCTGTTCTGAAACCAGGTTTTAACCTGGGTCTCTGACAGTTGAAGAGCATTAGCGAGTTCAACCCGTTCAGGTGTTGATAAATACCGTTGATTAGAGAACCTAAATAAGGTACGACTTTGTTATCTCGTAGCTCTTCTAGTTTTGATTGCTCACCCAAGTACAAGAAAAATCTTATTTGGGTGATCTTATAAAGATTTAAAACTTTTAGTTTTTCTCAATAGGCTCTTGTAAAATCTCACATTTTGATCCAATGAAACACAATTTCATTTCTACATGGCTGAATTTAATGAATTTCAGTTAATTAGCTGAACTAACTATCCCCAGATTCAAATCTGGAATCACCGATTTAAAGTAAAAGATGAATGTGGAATTGAATTAGTGATTTGAACCGGCGGTTGGTAGTTCAGCGACCTCTCAAATTAATAAAATAAAACAAAAAGAAAAACCTTCGTTCAAGTCCAGCCAACTGGGAATCTGAGAACACAGTTCTTGCCTTTCTTCGTCGTCCTAGATAATCTCCAATATAAGGAGGTAATCTCTGTTTGTATGTCCGATCATAACTCAGGAACCCCTCGAACAGTTTGCCCCAAATTTTGATTGGGAAGCTCGGCAGTATCACGGAAATGTTCTAAGCTTGGCTTAAAAAGTTAAGTGGGGGGGACTTTTGTAAGAAAGTTTAGTTACTGAGCAAATCATTCTAGTTCTAAGCGTGCATTGGCTAAAGAAGCAATAAATCCGAATTAATCCAGAGTTTTGAAGTTTGCAGCAGCTATTGGGTCCCCTCTGCTGGAGCGGAGGCCATTGGAGGGAATTTATTTTCAGCGAAAGGAATGCACTTAATACTATTTGCTCCACCCGAGGGATGGTAATTAACATTCAGGACACTAATTACTCCACCAGAGGGATGGTAATAAACACTTGGGACATTATTGTTCTTAATTTTCCCACCTGGTTTTCCAAGATCTGTATTGAAAAGACTGCTAAAGTGTAGCCCACTGGGAAATCCTAAACAATGATTTGGATGAAAGTCGTCTTACATTTTCAAACTTCTTGAAATGGTTCAGAATGATAAAACACAATGTGTAGAACTTCAACAAGATAAAATGAATACTGGATTTATTCGTATTTAATTTTATATGTAAACTTGATGAAGTAAAGCAGATATCCTGTAATACTTATTAATCATGAAAATAAATTAATCAGTCAGGATCAAATAAAGAGAAAAGGTAGCACTCATCGGAAGGGCTGGGCAACACTTCATTAGTGTTAATAGGCGGAAAAATAGCGTTAACAGACGGAAAAATAGTGTTAATGGACGGAAAAATAGTGTTAACGGACGGAAAATAGTGTTAACGGACGGAAAAATAGTATTAACGGACGGAAAAAATAGTGTTAACGGACGGAAAAATAGTATTAGCAGTCGAAAAAACTTTCATTTTCAAAATTTGTAATGGATCGACGATAAACCGTTGATAACAAAAGAAAAGAACGATTAAAAATAACAGGAAATTTCGGTTTACTTTATGATTGACTTGCATTGAAGACATTAACAAATATTTTATAATGTGTAATTAAAATATTAAGCGTTGTCTTCTGTATTTTCTAATAATTAAACTCCATTAAACCGTTAATAATTTTATGATATACAAATCTTGTTAACGAATTTACCAACGAATATTTATAGTATATAGCCATTAACAATCTAAAATGTTAACAAACGGACAAAATCTGTCACCTAAATGTAAAGTTTTGCAAAAAAACTGATGGTTATTTGATAAGTTGTCAGATGTTCGTTCCATTATATATTCATAACTCCCTGCACCATGTAAACATTTGCATATGCATCAAATAAGACCTTCGTAGATTTAATGAGATTTAATTCAACCTAGAACTCGTCATATTTTGAGAGTTCCCAGTCGTCTTTACAGTCTCATCCTGTGTGGGTAACCCTGTATATATAAAAACATTTGCTAAAAACAAGAATAAAATCATTATTACCTTGCGGGAAGAAGAATGGATTTGAATGTTCTGGTTTCTGAAGAAGATGGTGATGAACTAATTTATAAAATCATTATAAAACCACAATAGAAAACATTTAAAGTGAACCATACAAGAGAACATTTAAAGTGTACCACACTAGAAACATTTAAAGTATACCACACTAGAAAACATTAAAAGTGTACCACACTAGAAAACCATTTAAAGTGTACCACACTAGAAAACCATTTAAAGTGTACCACACTAGAAACATTTAAAGTATACCACATCAATAGAAAACATGTAAAGTGTACCACACTAGAAAACATTAAAAGTGTACCACACTAGAAAACCATTTAAAGTGTACAACACTAGAAACATTTAAAGTGTACCATACTAGAAACATTTACAGTGTATTTTCCCAGCTGCTAACAACTATTTTATAATCGAATGCGCGCATGAATCATACTGTGTGGGTAACCCCTTACTCAAGTACAGTGAAAAATATAAAATATGAAAACGACAATTAATCAAAACTAAAGTGCATTTGATGTTGTAACAAAACAAAAATCATATTAGTAAGTTATAAAATCACCTATTAAGAGGTATATGTCTGTTTACACTGCACAATTGCAGTGCCTCGTGTTCGTTGGACTATTACAAGTCTAAAAGTCGACTTCTTACTCCAGAGTTTTCTGGTTATCACTGTACATTATAGTATAATGATTATGCCTGAGAGAGGGAGGTAAGCAGAGAACGGATAGTCGGCCAACGATCGCACCAGAGGACTGCTACTGTCATTCTGTTCGATCAAGGATCGTACCAGCGGATTGTTATTTTCATTCTGTTCAATCAAGGATCGTACCAGCGGATTACTTTCAGTGTTGTCTATCAAGTTCCTGCACATTTATATCATTAAAGGGACTGTGAAGGCAATTCGAGCTGAATTCGTGAAAAATGATCATATAACGTAAAGATTTTAGCAAAGTTTCAACTAAATAACTAATTTTTTCATCAGTTCATATTTTCCTTTATTTATTAATTCATTTATATATATTTATATTTTCATTTATTCATTTATTTATTTATTTATTTATTTATTTATTCATTATTCATATATTCATTTATTCATTTATTCATTTATTCATTTATTCATTTATTCATTTAATCATTTATTCATTTATTCATTTATTCATCTATTCATTTATTCATTTATTCATTTATTCATTTATTCATCCTTTCATTTATTCATCTATTCATTTGCTAATTTATTCATTTTTTATTTATGCGCTTGTTTATTTATTCATTTATTCATTTATTCATTTATTCATACTCATTTATTCATTTTTTATTTATTCATTTTTTCATTTATTCATTTATTCATTTATTCATTTATTCATTTATTCATTTATTCATTTTTCATTTGACTATTTATATATTTATTCATTTAAGTATTTATTCATTTATTCATTTATTCATTTATTTATTTATTCATATATTCATATATTCATAATTATTCAATTCATCATCCTTTAATTTATTCATTTATTCATCTATTCATTTATTCATATATTCATATATTCATTCTCTCATTTATTCATTTATTCATTTATTCACTTTTTCATTTACTCATTTTTCATTTATTCATTTATTCATTTATTCATTTATTCATTAATTTATTCATATATTCCTGTATGTCCTCACTTCTAAAATTAAGAAATACAAACGGATTGATTATTCAAGAAAAAAGAAATAGAAAATAGAAAATGTGTGAATGAAAAACGGTGAAATAAAAGTGTAGAACTAAGGGTTTTTTTTTACTTTTAAGAGGCTTCATAAAAATCTATGAGATGATTATTATATTTCAAAATTCTGTAAAAATAAATCTGACAAAAAAATAAAAATAAAAAAAAATTAAAAACTATTTAAAAAAAATTCTTTATACGATTTATCAACGAAATTTATAAAGAGGATTTATCAAAACAATTTAACAAAAATGATTTATCATTAATTTTCTTTTTTAATCGTGTGTAATAAATGCCATTTTAAAATACCAGGCTTTTTTATAGTATGTTTCACACCCATCTTCTACTTTAACTTTAAATTGTTGCTCTATCTGTGTTTTTTTCTCTTCATATATTATAAAACAACAACAAAATCATTTGGTGAATGGATTTAGTTATTATTTTGTGGATTTTTAGAAATTTTAGTTTTGAATTTTTATTCTTGGGATCATATGAGGTCCGATCGGTTTAGGTGTTTTGACTTTTAATGGAACACAAAAAGAAAACAGACAGACAAGCAATATATATATATATATATATATATATATATATATATATAGAGATGATTATTAAATGATATTATTCTTGTGGAGTATTTTAAAAATAAAAATTAATTGTATAAACCCAACCCACTAATAAAACAAATATAGAATGACTGAGAGTATTTCTGTGTTGTAAAAAAATGTATTTGTAAACACTACAGCTACAGCGATAACCATAAAATTCTGGAATAGGAAGACGACTTTTAGACTCAAATTTTTACTTTAAATAGTCCAATAAACATGAAACACAGGACTTGTGCTGCAGTGTAAACAGACCAATTTCAATTGATAAGCAAATTAATAAGTATAAATAGTAAAACTATTTGTTTTGAAACAACATCAAATTCTCTAATTATTGCTTTATTATCGTCTTCCTTCTAAAGTTTTCTGTGTCAAAGATATTCCATTTTGTTTTAAATCTAACAAAAACTTAATAATAACGAAATGCTCCTGGCTATTCGATATTAATACAATATAACCCAGAAATTCAAAAACATCCAAAATAATTTATAAAATGTCGTTTTCTAAACATATTAATAATGGAATGGTGCAGATATTTAAATTTTTAATGGAATAATTATATGCAGATCTTTAAAACTGTTCCCGATTTCATGGCTATTTATTTATCTTTTTAATTACTGATATTTAGGTATAATACGGTAATATAGGCGATTTTGATTTGTATCAAGCTTTTAAACAGCATACACAAGAACATGGAAACAAAGAGAAGCTGTCAATCTAAAAAGCTTCTCTTTTATTACTTGTAAACTTTTTATTCGAAAATGCTTAGGAACAATTAAAACTTAAATAATAAGTCGTCTCCATTATATATAAAACTTGAAAAATGGCATGACGACATTATATAAATTCATTCAATATTTCCAAAGTTCTGGGTCAAACTGTAAAAAAAGTTAGGTTAACCTGACTAGAGAACTGCCGACAGACTGGAATGTTCTGGAATATTGGCCAAATTCCTTTTTCTCTATGCTAGATCCTACCTAGAATAAATGTTAAATATAAATGTCGTCTTAAACTCCATCTGTGAATAAAGAGAAATGTTGTCTATACCTGTCTAATTTATCCAGGCATGGTAAGTATTCTTATTTCAATACATTGATATTCAGATCACTGACTTGACTGGCTTTTCATTTTTTTAATCATTTACGAATTACAGGCATTTGCAATATATTACTGTTTTGAACAATACATACAGGGTTGAAATCCCAGAAAGAGGATTATAAAATCCGCAAATCAGTAGTGTTGGATCCTGGAACCAGAGAAGTCTTACTCATCTTCCTCTCCTTTAATATACTCGTTATTTGTCATGTATTTACATCTAGAAGCAATACATGTTGGTGACCCCAGACATCAAATGAACCATGGCCAAAAACACTGCCTCCTGGTCGTAAACAGCTAAAGAATTGGACGAGGATAACAATCTCAAGCTTAAAGTTTTTAACCACAAATTCACTGTTCCTTAATCCTACAATCAGCTAATCCTTGAGCTAATAAACTAAACCTCAGCTACTCCTGGAGGTAATAAGCTGAACCTCAGCTAGTCCTGGAGCTAATAAGCTGAACCTCAGCTAGTCCTGGAGCTAATAAACTTAACCTCAGCTACTCCTGGAGGTTATAAGCTGAACCTCAGCTAGTCCTGGAGGTAATAAACTGAACCTCAGCTACTCCTGGAGGTAATAAGCTGAACCTCAGCTAGTCCTGGAGCTAATAAACTAAACCTCAGCTACTCCTGGAGGTAATAAGCTGAACCTCAGCTTGTCCTGGAGCTAATAAACTAAACCTCAGCTACTCCTGGAGGTAATAAACTGAACCTCAGCTACTCCTGGAGATAATCAGTTTTCTACAAGTTAAATCTATGCCCGCCTAGCCTTCACTACAACTGATCTCTTTTAAATGGCCACTGGCCAGCCTTACAGAATGTCGATCATGACGTGGGGAGGGGGCAAATCAGAAATTTACAAACAGCTACTTGTGAATAATGATCAATCATCACCAGAACTCTTTCTACTCCTTTTCCGTAAACACTTACAAGGAAATATATGTATCAGTCTCGACTCCTTCTGTGCTCGAGACTTGGGGGGGACTTCTGAAGAGGATTGAAATCCCCGAAATCGAGGATTATAAAATCGGGATATCAGTAGTGTCGGCTCCTAGAGCCAGAGAAGACCTACTCATCTTCCTCTCCTTTTATACACTCGACATGTATTTACATCTAGAAGCAATAAATGTACTTATAAAGTATTAGGGGAAAAAAATCCATTTCTTGATTGAATAACCTTATAAAGACCTTTATACTTACAGAGGAGAAATGAAAAAATAATATTTTTAGGAATTATTTTTCTTAAACCTAAAATGCACAATGTGTTGCAAAAAAAGGGATCTTTGAGTATGAAAATATGCAAGAGGTTAAAAATACTCGGTAAACTTCTTCATCCTTAGAATTAAGATAAGGGAATGTGTGATACACTATTCAAGCATTTTGAAAAATGATACAGCGGGCGCTAACCTGAATACTTGAGATGCTAAAAACTACCTTCAAAAATGTATATTCTTTAGGACACCAAGTGTTAATAAAGAAAGAGCATGTAAAGGTCAGTCTGACCTCCGCTAACCTTCTCTATTTGTATAAAAGTAGTAAATAGTTTTTAGAGAAATCAGAACTATGGTTTCCTTCATTCTTACCCAGGTATATATCTACAGTTAAATCATATATAAGAAGACATTGGATGAATTTATATGATATCGCCTTGAATTTGAATTTGAAGCTGTCTTCTATTTTCCCAGGTTTTCTGCTCGGGAAAATTAGACTCAGGCTAAGATGTCATTAAGACTTATTTGAGACTCGAGTTTTGGTATTATAAGGTGGGACTTATTTCCTGCAGAGTTGACTTATAAAACCAATTCAATATTGTATTTGTCGGATTTTCATGGTTTGAATTGGCGGATTCCGGGATTTGATTCGTTTAAGATTTTATTTCCTTTGGGCCTAACTTCTTAAGTCTGTCGAGCTGGCAGCTGTCGATCATGTGACACAAGCTGTCGTCAGCTGATTTACAAGATAGGTCTAAGATTGAGCCTTAAGCCTGGATCTAAAGAATGAAAAATGGAGTCAAAGCTTTAAAATCATATGCTCAGAATTCTGTGTTGAGTATTGTTAATGTTTAACGCTTGATCCCTAGTTGATCTAGTTGAGGTTGATCCCTAGTTGATCTAGTTGAGGTTGATCCCTAGTTGATCTAGTTGAGGTTGATCCCTAGTTGATCTTGATCCCTAGTTGATCTAGTTGAGGTTGATCCCTAGTTGATCTAGTTGAGGTTGATCCCTAGTTGATCTAGTTGAGGTTGATCCCTAGTTGATCTAGTTGAGGTTGATCCTTGAACCGACTTTATGTGCCAAACGAATTCGGAGGGTTAATAATTCTGGACTTCATAAGTTTATAGCTATCGGTTTGTCGGAGACTAAATGTTTGCAGGTTCCATTAAAGTTATGCCTGAATGGTATAATCAAAGGGTCAAATCAATCCAGAGGTCTTCACAAGAGAGAGATCAATGCATGATCTCGAGTTTGTAAAGAAAAGAACCATAATAATTTGTTGAAAAAGTTTTGCATTTCATTTTCCTTTTTCCTTTTCCTGTTTTTTAAGGTTCTGCTGTGCAGTGTTGCGGCAAATATCCTAGGAAGTCCAACGGATAGGTAAAACATTCATATATTAAAGAAAGTTTTCGCGAAAAAGTGAAATAGGTCTAATATCTGAATCCCAATTTTATTTGCTGCCAATCGGTATTTCTCTCACCTGTGTCTGTAATGAGAAAAATAGTTAAAATAGCTTTAAGATTTTCATTGGGTTTATTTTGTTGATAAATTATTTATAGTTATTTGTTCACAATTTATATGTTTCATGTAAAAATTTAAGAAAACTCTCAATTCTTTTTTTTAAAACAAATGTTCCAAGCTATCCCCTTTTCTGCATAAACTTTTTCAAATTTCCAAATACCAAAGAGACAATTTTCCAAATGTTATTGTCACAACGCTTAATATTATAGCCTAGCCACAGCGCTTGGCCCAGATTATGTTAAAGCCTAACATTCTTGAAAGTACAGTTTAAGAAATAGTAAAGACTTGCCCAAGGTTTTAATGCAAGGGCAGTTAATTGCAGTTGTGTATACTCCGTGTACATATTGAAACCAGACCCGCGATTTAAAAAAATCGGGAAAATACGGCTCGGGTCTAAGCTGTCGTTGGGCCTTATTTACGGCTTGAGCTTTCGGATTCAAGCTGCATCTTATTTTCCATAGAGTTGAGTTCAAAAAAACGGTTTGATATTCTATTTGGCGGATTTTCATGGTAGGAATTGGCATTCTTAGTTTTTATGAGAAGAAGATTCAACATTGAGCCTTATTCTCCACTAAAACCAACAAAGGTCGGTTTTATTTTCATTGGGCCAAACTCCTTAAGTCGAGCCGAAGATTTTGCAGCTGTCAATCACGTGACACAAGCTGTCGTCAGAGTTGAGCTGAAGATTGCGTCTAAAGTCGGGTTTAAGAAATTACGGCTCGAGCCCAAGTTTTTAAATCGCGGGCTCAGTTCTCTCTCGGTCGAATTTGTAAACAAGAATAGATTCGTTTAGTATTCGAGAGGAGCTTAAAAGCTTTAAATTTTGATAATTTTGATAATTCACATAATAGTTTTCTATGACCAGAATATTTCATTGATTTTTTATGTGAAAGATGGATTCCATGTCAGGCATCCGTCTTGTGTTTACATTACCACCGAGAGACAGTACACTGCAGTACACAAGATGCGTACACCTCTGAAATAACATTCCCTGCATTATAACCTTGATATATCCTATTTTCTGATGCTGTAATTCCAATCAGAAATCATTTTTTTAGGGTTTTCAGAGACTCCATAAAATGCTGAGAGTTTTTAAATAATATGATTTAATTGTAGGACTAACTATGAAACTGATCTGCTATTTAAAAATCTAATCAGCAAGACAGAACACTTCAGGTTAAAAGAATATCTATTTATGTGATTAATTATGTAATGAGCAACAGTCACAATTCATCAACTGCACCTTTTTAAGGGACAGTTCTCGTAATTTCAAATTAAATTCTTGTATTTTATTATTTGTGTACTAGGACAATCATGAATGCTCGTGATGCTGAAAGAAATCCTTTGGAAGAGTTCCATGAAGAAAGGAACCCTTTGGAAGGGTTACATGTAGAAAGAAGCCCTTTAGAAGGGTTACATGTAGAAAGGACCCCTTTGGAAGGGTTATATGTAGAAATAAGCCCGTTGGAAGGGTTACGTGTAGAAAGGAACCCTTGGATAGGTTTACTAGATTTTCAAACCTCACAGAAGAAGAGATCTGGAATAAATCCTGACAGTGTTCGTAAGTGGTAAGATTAAAATTTTTAAAAAAAGTTTGTCCAAGCAATTTGTATTGACCCGGATTCAAATGTATGCATTCCCGATTAACAACCTTTTCTAAGCCATAGCATAGATAACACCCTGTCAATATTTCTATCAAGGTGTTCCCAAAAAATTGTTAACACTCCCTTTAAATCTTTTTTTCTAGGTGGTTCCAAAACATGATTGATATTCCCTTCTTTAAATATATCTGTCTAGATGGAACTAAAGCATGAAAAAAAACCTTAGATCTATTTGTCTAGGTGGTTCCAAAACATGAAAAAAACCTTTAATATTTCTGTCTGTAGGTGGTTCCAAAACTCTAGGCTAAACACTAAGAGAGAAGATGAAGATAAAGATAAATCAAACCGAAGAATGATGAGGTAATCCACTGGTAATCCACTGGTAAACTATTGGTAAACTACTGGTAAAATACTGGTAAACTACTGGTAAACTACTGGTAAACTACTGTTAAACTACTGGTAAACTACTGGTAAACTACTGGTAAACTACTGGTAAACTACTGGTAAACTACTGGTAACTACTGGTAAACTACTGGTAAACTACTGGTAAACAACTGGTAAACTACTGGTAAACTACTGGTAAACTACTGGTAAACTACTGGTGAACTACTGGTAAGCTCCTAATAAACTACTGGTAAACTTATGATTAAAAGATAAAAAGCGGGTCTAAATATTGATTAAGTTTGGAATATTTAAAAATCAAATTGCATGCAGAGAACTCAGAATTAAGTTTCTTTCAAAACCTATATTTTAGCAAAAGTTGAGTGGCTTCCATGAAATAAAAAACGACTATTTGGGGGTCTGTTGGATCCCCCTCCCCCCCAGATTCTTTCCTGGAATGGGCTAGAATAATTTACCAATCATATTTTTCAGAATTGGAAGATCAGCTGGATTCATGATCTAATAAGATATCATTGACTTAGGTAAATTGTAAATTCTTCAAACTGTTTGAGATCAACATAGAGAAAAATTTTAAATCTATTAAAACCTGAGCGAATGGTTGGTGTAAATAAATAAAAGTGGTGGCTGTTTTAATCCGACAAATCAAATTAAACCACTATTAACTTAACGTATTAAAACGAATTTAAAATACAAAAGTTTTGAACTCATGGTTTGAATAAATGTATAAAAAACATTTTTTATAAGGATAACCCTGCCCTGCACTGGAGGAGGCTCTAAATTTGTAAAAATAGTAGATTTAAACAAAATAATTTTGGTGGCTGAATTTTGTATATGTATTAATCATGTATATTGAATAATGAATACTGAAATAAATTATTTGTGAATTGAATAATTTTTTAAACGTTTAACTTCATATTCATTCTTGGATACATGATCGGCTTGTGTTCCAAAAATGATAACACTAGTGTAATAGGTTTATTTTCTCTCTATTTTATCAAATATGGTTTTGTAATACAAAGGAGACGAATTTAAAGAATTTGAGCCGCGGTTTAAATTTAAGAGGCAGCTCAAACATGGTTGTGTTTTTGCAAACCAAATAAGTCAAATATGAGAAATAAAAAGGAGATGATAAAGCACTTTGAATGTTTTCATATAGTCTTAGCGGTGGTAATGTATGAACAAAGTTCAATAATGCGAAGATGAAGCATGGAACTGAGTTTAAATCCGGATGATTATCTGAATTGTACTTAAAGAAGGGGTTGGAGAACAGTCCCGTGCATACCATCTACTTTATTCTTAGCAATATTTGATCATTTAGAGTAAAATATAAAATAGTCATGTATAATATAGTTGTGCTAGTTATGCATTCAGGTACTTACCACCAACCCGATTTACCTACCCGAGGTTACTATATAGTAACCAATTTTTCAAACTGGGTTTTAGACACTGACCCAAAATATTTTTATCTATCATGTTTGATACAGTCTAGACTCTAGATTGATTACATACACGTCAAACTAAAGTAAAAATGATTATTGATCATAAATCCTTTTATTGAAGATCAATGAATAAGAGAAAAAATGTTTTTAACATCTAGATAAATTTCTTTTCTCATACTTGTGCGAAATATTAAAACTAGATGAGCTACGAGATAAAATTTTTTTTCAAGAATTACCTATTGTATTTTACACAATGGAAATCTCAAAGACTGGAAAAAGAAAGTTACTCAATAAAGAATGAAAACCTTAAAATGACAATGTGTTTTTGGATCTTAACACAAATTTGCAGCACCTTCTTTAACCTCATTTCTGGTCGCAACTCACAAACTCAGATTTTCTAATCCCTAAATTATTGCAACCCGATGTCGAAAACCTTTCATGTTTCAAACTATGAGTTCTGATAGATCAAATAGTCTAGATTTAAAATATTAAAGGGTTATACCTCCAGGTTGCAAAGATATAGGTTTGAGAAAATCAGAGTTTTTCAAAATTCAATTTCATCTTTCTGATATGGTTTGATTCCAGTCACTGCATCTTTCTGATATGGTTTGATTCCAGTCACTTTTTCTTAGTTATCTTTAAAATAAATGAATTTTGATTTTAATACAAATAGTTTAAATGATTAAACAAGGTCTAGATAAATTATGCTTATTTTGTAAGGCAGTTGTTAAAAAACAAGGAAAATACAAAAAAGCACAAACATCTCCGGATTTTTTTAGGAATCACTTTTGGGGTAAACTTTAAACAAAATGAATGTTACCTTGATTCTTGACTTTTTCTATGATTTGATTGTTCTCAACTAACCTTGGTTCCTTGACAGAGGATGTCCTCTATAAGAAAGGAGGATCCGGTATTAGTTCCAGAATTTCTTTGATATTTTCCTCTTTCATCTTCATCCTCATCCTCCCCTCTCCTTCTTCTTCCCTCCTCTACATCTGTGTTTATATTTTCTTCTCTACGTTTTCCCCCCTCCTCTTCTTCTATTTTCTTCTCCCATTTCTCTTTGTTAGGAAAAATTGGTCTCATGTCCGTTTTATGCCTTCAATTATCAAGTTTCCCGGATTTTCTATTCTTCCTGTTTTGCGGATTTGTCTCAAATGTGTCGCGGATTATCTCGTGGTTCTAAACTCCCTGGGGTGTATTCGACTGAAGCACTTAATTGTCGGGTTTGTGGATCTAATATGCTGCTAACGTTCTAATTCCCCACTCCCGACCATCAACCAATCAACCAAATACTCCCAGACTTTTCACCCAATCACGCAACCCGTCGGAGATTCTGGACTAATCAGAGGCCAGGATTCTGGTTGCTCTCGGAGGTTTAGGTAACCTGTGCTTCTGATTGGTTGGAGGATTGGGGCGAAGAGTTTTGTGGTCTCTGATTGGCGGAGAACTTTGGTTAGGCTCACTTTGCATTACAAGAGGTGATCAGGAAGAAAATTCTATTATACTTGGGGGTAAAAAATATTTTTATATAAGAAAATATTTTAGAAAAAACTCATCTTCGACTTTATTTGGTATAGTTGTTATTTTTTTTAACTAAATCAAAAAATATGTTAACAGTGAGGGACAATTGTAAAATTTAATCAAAAAGATTTTTTACAATTTTCTAAATTTTTACATTTTTTGGGGGAATATCTTTATCCCCCTTTTTTCTGAAAATCCCTGAATTTCGAGGAGCTGAAAGGAAAATTGTCTGTTGCTTAGCTTGACAAGTTTTATAGGTGAGTGTTTACAGTTTCATCAACTTTGTGAGTTAGGGGGGGGGGTGGTTCGTTTTCATATTCAGATTTGTAAATTAAATTTCATTAAACATATATGTGAAAAATAGATTTTGTTTTATTAAAAATTCTGAAATTTTTTCCTTACAACCTTAAATTTGTTCTAATTTTGTTAAAGATATATATAATAAACACTAATTTCTGTAGTCTGCCTTTAAAAAGTGAATTTATTTTCAAAGAAAAATATAATTACTGCACTGTGAAGTATATCTTTGTAAAAAGTACCTCTAGAGTTTTTCTCTCAAATGTTCACTTACTTCTAAATTAAGTCTTTAGAATGATCACCTACTTCTAAAGAACGTCTTTATAAAGTACTCCTACTTATAAAGTATGTCTATAAAATGTGCACTTACTTCTGAAGTATGTTTGTAGAATGTACACCTACTTCTAAATTATTTCTGTAGTTTGCACACATACTTCCAAAGTATGTCTGTTATAGAAGGTACACCTACTTCTAAAGTATGTCTGTTAAAGAATGTACACTTTCTTCTAAACTATGTCTGTTATAGAATTTACACTTACTTCTAAGGTATGTCTGATTTTAGAATGTAACCTTACTTCTAAAGTATGTCTGATTTTAAAATGTACACCTACTTCTAAAGTATGTCTGATTTTAGAATGTACACCTACTTCTAAAGTATGTCTGATTTTAAAATGTACACCTACTACTAAAGTATGTTCCCTTTTTCCTAAAAGTTAGGAGGGAAACATCAAGCCACCAACATTTTAAAGATTTTCTAAAATCTCGTTAAAAACTTTTAGAAATAATCCGCTAAGTTTTTCTAAAATTGCTAAATTGAAGTTTTAATCTTTTCTTGAATATCGTTAGTAAAAATTGATTTTTTTCTCCTTCTAAAAATAAATAAAAGCAAAAATAAAGATCAGAAGGAGCACCCCGCTTTTATTTCTAGAGAAAAAGTACTTTCATAATTTATCAAATTTTCATTTGTTAAAAATCCTTTAAAAGAAATAATTTCCCAGCATGATAGTTTTTAATAATGATAATTTTGTAAAAAAATCCATTATTTTCTAACTCTTTTCAATTATTTTCTTAATCCTATTAATTATTATTAAATATTAATTATTTTATAAATCTTTCAAAAAGTTTTGGTTAAAAATATTCTTAGTAGTTATAGAGATTTTTAAGTTTATTTCTTTAATTAAAATAAATTTCAACATAAAAGATTAACACATTTTTGACCGTGTTTTGTTGTTATTTTGATTTTACACTCATTTACAAGATTCAAAAAGTGTTTCTTCTTCTTATCGTTCTTTTAAAACTGAAGCTATATTGATAAATATGTAAAATTACATTTACATACCACCCAGTTTTGGGGGGGCGGTACCCCTGTGCCCCCTAGACATGCACCCCCCTAGGCTTCCCCCCATAGAGCCAAAGGAAGGCTTTAACTTATTTAACATTAAACTTACTTATATTCAGATTTTTTACTTTTCTTATCAATCGACTATGTCACAATTTATCCATTTTCTGATATTTCTCAAATTCTTTCTTGAACCTTAATCTTATTTACAATATTTTTTCACGGAGTTTCATTTAAAATCCATTTCAGTCTCTCAGAGCAAGATGATTGACGCAGAGTTTTGTTCAAACTTTTAAGGTTTTTTCTCTTTTACCGCTAGATTTTATAATGGTATGATTGGTAATTATGGTCAGATGACTAATAGAGAGCCTTCAGATTAATATAGATTTTAAACTTTTTTTTTACTTAATACCTTTCTTTTGGGGGTGCGCGCACATCACTTGTTAAACCTCCACTACGCGCCTGATACAATTACGTGAAACTGACTTTGAATTGTAAGTGTTCTGAAGACTAAAAAACTTGACTCTATAAGGTTATGATATTAGACCATAACATTTTATATTTGCGAGAGTTGTGCTATATTGAAGAAAAAACCTAAATAATTCTTAAGTGTTTTCTTCGGTATAATAATTGTGCCGAGTATACACCTCTGAAATAACTTTCCTTGCATTAGTACCTTGCCTCCGGCCAAGTCCTTACATTTAATCTATCTCAGAGTAATATTTCTTACGCCTATTTTTCCCAAACGAAATCGTAGTTCCCACAAATGAACAGAGATCCCACGCCCCTACCCCTTTAGACAAGTTCCCGATTACGGCGGTTTAAAGAAGGGAAATAAGATTAACTGGAATAATCTGACTATCAATGCATAACTAATTTGAAGAATCTGTTTTTTTATAAATATTACACATGGAAACTCTCTTAAGTTTCTGTTCGAAATATCGAACGCATGGAAACCTCTTCAGTTTTTGTTCAAAATATCGAACACATGGAAACCTTTTTCAGTTTCTGCTCGAAATATCAAACACATGGAAACCTCTTCAGTTTCTGTTCGAAATATCGAACACATAGAAACTCTCTTAAGTTTCTGTTCGAAATATTGAAATATCATGTGTTCGATACTTTAATTTTATTTTTGTTTTAATATAAATAATTGTATGGGGTCTGCTACATTATTAACTCAGTTACAAAATTGTGTAACACAAATTTATTTATCTATATATTTCATATTTTTATATATATCAGTTAAAACGCAACAATCTTCTTATAGCATTTTATTCATAAACAAATTGTTTCATGCTTTTATGCAATCATCAGTTTGAATTGAGAATTTTTCGCGGATTTTCACGAGATGTTAAATTAATTTCAAATTAATGTTACATATAGATACATACAATAAAACAAACATGATGTTAAAAAACCATACTTTATCACACTACATTTACTAGAAGCATCTTTTTTTTTATGTCGAAATTTTGACATAATTTCGTGTCTTTTATTCAATGATAATGTTCTGCAAGGATGATAAGCGTTTTCTCAGCTAAGCAGAGTTGACACTTGTTGATTTCTTTTTTGTAAGGGGTTGCCAAAGATGCGATGGACCATGATATTTCAAAGGGTTTGTTCTCTCTCTTTAAATCCCAAACATGTTTCGAGAGTCCTTTGCTGTTTTCCTGTTTACTGATCTTGAATGACGAGTTGTGGTTGTTGTATCTTGTTTTAAAATCTGTTGACGCCAATCCAATGTATTCAGCTTTCTGATCACCAGTCTTGACAATTGCTTTGTATATCGGAGATTCTATTAAACATTTTTATATATATATTTATATCTATATTTCTATATATATACTTTGCTTTTATATCAGCTGTCTGTTTGTATCCAATAAACGTCAAAACAGCTGAACTGATCGGGCCTGAATCTTCTATGAAAAAAATGTCTATAATTGTAATTTTTAATGAAATGCGATAATTTAAGTTAAAAAATTCGCAAAAATTTAAGAATCTGTCTATAAATCTATCTCTCTATCTATCTATCTATCTATCTATCTATCTATCTATCTATCTATCTATCTATCTATCTATCTATCTATCTATCTATCTATCTATCTATCTATCTATCTATCTATCTATCTATCTATCTATCTATCTATCTATCTATCTCTCTCTCTCTCTATCTATTTATCTATCTATCTATCTATCTATCTATCTATCTATTTAATTTTTTTTAATTAATCTGTTTTTTAATCAATCTATCAATTTGGGGTTCTTTCTATATGTATCTATTATTCTATCTCTTATCAATCTTGGGTTCTATCCGTCTATTTATCTATTTAGTTTTATGTCCGTCTATCAATCTATGAAATCATCTATCTGTTATATCTGTTCTATATTCATCCCCCCTGGTATTCCTGGTATACATGTATCTAAGTTACCATGACGTAGTGTATACACTGTACACTCTATACGTTCAAATTACCGAATATAAATGGATCTCTGTATGTCTCCCGTTTTGGGAGTTGTTCTAGTTGAACCTTAGTTGAACCAGATTCAGTTTAATTGATTATCTTACATATACTTCAGGTTTCACTGACTAACTATCTTAGTGTAAATATTTCTGTTTAACAGTGTAACTGACAATGTATTTCTTATAACATCTACAGTGTTAGCTATAAAGAATGAGACTCGGATGCATATCGACCTGTAACTCGATCAAATACCAAAATCTGGAGATAGGTTTATTATAAAATTTATCTGGGACCGGATTTTATGAATTTGAGTTAGGTTCAGAGACGGTTCAACCAAATATTTTGAATCAGTGACTCAGGATTTGTCCTTGTTCAGCGACCTAGCTCAAATGCATTAAATTCGGTCCATTGTTTAATACCATTTAAGAGAGAAGATTGAATAAAATCTGTAGATCGAGTGTAAGAATGGCCATATTCCTGAATCTAAGCCCAAGGGAAAAAAGTTGAAAAGTGACAAATCATTCTTTTTGTAGAAAGGAGTAGAGTTTTTGCCACAAACTCTGATTTTCTAATCAGAAATTTGAAATATCAAAGGTTTGCACCATCAGGTTGCAAAGATATTGGGATTTGAGTTTGTGGCAAAAACTCAATTCCTTTGCGAATCTTTTTTTTTGGAAAAACAAAGGCATCCATGAATCGTTAATGACTCTCTAATGAAGGGTCACTTAAAAGGGAGTGACCGGCAATGTAAGTTGGTTGAACTAAGAATGCAGCTTTGTAAAGAATTGTTTTTAGGATTCATTTTTATGGTGCATATTTATTCATCAAGAGTGCAAATTCAATTGTTAAATTCATTCCATTCTGGAGATGATTTTGAGAATCGTTTTTTTAAAAAGTATTCAATAAAAACAGCAAAAAATATAACAAAAATTGTTAAGTAAACTAATTGGATGTTTAGGAACATATTTTTCAATAGGAATTCGTTAATA